CACCTTGGCAGGGGTCTGCGCTCTCTGAGTGCCCTTACTTTGTGATATAGTTTGATGGCTTATAGAACTTCAGTTTTTCAATAGGGAGAATACTGCTGCCCTGTTTGCATTCTTTCATTCACTGAACAGAGAGTGGGGATTGTGTTGATCCACATTTGCAGTGGAGACACCTTTGCTAGTGTGTTACTGGAAAAACAGCCAAGTGTGAACCTGTCGTGATGTCACCAATTGGTTTGTGGAGTACCTATGGTTGTTGCCATGACAGTTTGTCAGAGCTAGCGGAGGTGATGTAATGCGAGTTGAGCTGCTCTCATTAGCTGTGTAGTTTTAACTCGCCTGTTCACATTCGATCTCATATTACAGCTAAACAGTACACTGAAATACTTCTATGATATACTGTGTATATGTATTTGTTTCTGAAAGGATTTTAGGTGAGAAATAGTCAATGCAGTAACAGAATCTTGATTCATATTTAATCAGCATTGCCTAGTTTGACAGTTTGTGTTAAACTGGACTAACTCAGAGTGATCTGTCAATTAAAGGTAGCCACGCCTAAAAGCATACTCTGCTGTATCGTCTATAAATGGGACCATAATTTACTAAATGAACGTCATGCTGTTTGGAAAAAGACTTGAAACTAGAGATTGAGACCATAAACTCATTAGGAAACTGTTTACTGAACTAATCAAGTGAGAAGTCGGGTCATTTCATTTCCATTAAACTGCATGGTATCGTTTTTTATTGCAGCCAATGGAGATGCCCCCTGCTGGCCTTTACATAGAATTCAAGTTAGACATTTCTGCATTGGCTTCACTTTTCAGACCCGGTAGCTCTGTCCATTATATATACTGTCAATGAAAACAGAAGATTTAAAAGTCGTTCTTCAGCTTCCCACTTAGGTTGTCTACACTATCAGTTGCACCTTAGAAGTAGGAGAAAACACTTGTAAAGGCACCAAGAGTTGCATTTTCAGGCTTTTGTTTCAGCTTAACTCTGTCCACTCCCTACTTCTAAATCAATTCCAAGTGTTTACTGTCAAACGTTGTCCGTGTCTGTTCTGTATCTTGTCACTGGTAGCCTGCGTGTGGTCAGTGAAAGTCTTGTGGAACTCAGGCAGACACTCTGCTAGTCTCTCTACTGTACTCACTGGATGGGATCCACAGATGATAGTGTTGCACAGTCTGGGGCCCTGGGGCGAGACGCCAGCCAACCCACCAGAACATAACAATGCTAGGCAGTGCTCCATGGCTCCGGGCCCAATGTCCCCCACTGTCCCTGTGCTGCTGACCCCACATATTTTATGGGGTCTTAGGCGTTCAGTGGGCTGTCATGGCTCATTAGGAGCTTTAAAAATGAACTTGCACAGCAGACTCTCTCAGTGATTAATAAACATGGACAGAGAGAGAAAGGCAGTCAGATAGGAATGGTTAGGGCAAAAGTTCACTGATGAGACCACTTTCAGAGAGGTTTATGGAGGTCTTTAAATACACTTGTTGGCGCACACAACACACACAAACTGCTTTACTACTGCTGTTGATTGGGATGGGTAGGTCACCCTGCCATCAGCAGCGAAAACAAACCATCATCCTGGGTTTTAGATGAGAGTTTTAGTCAGACTCCTGTTTCAGAGGCTTTTTCTAACCCAACAGCCCGAAAATTCTAAGGAAGTCCATTTATATCTTTGCTTTTATGTAAATATATACACCATAGTTTCTTTGGGAGCCCCCTTTCCCCTCCCGAATTTCAGCTGACAGTCTAATGGTCTACCAGAGGTTATTTATAGGTTTTTGGACTGTGCCCCATGGCCGAACAAGCTGCATACCAGACACAACTGATGAACTCTGGAGATTGTTGCATGAGAGAATCCGCCCCTCTGCTCCTCTAAAGGGTGGTGGTGGGATTTGCTTTACTAGCAAACATTTCCACAGTAGGACTGAAAGGAGATGTTTCGCTTTGACTGCTGCAATGGCCAGATGTAGTGAAAAAAGTTGAACCTCTCTAGGATCTGAACTTGCTTGTTATTAGTTTAAAAAGCATAATGACTACTGACTATTTAGTATGTTACAGAAAATCCCTATAGAGTGGTTTCGGTTGGAGGTGGAAAACACCAACTTTTATGTGGAAACTGTCAAGACATGGCTACCCGTGACAAACAAAGAGCACATATTGGTAAAACTGTTCCCATGAATCCCAACTTTTTTTGAAACATAGAAGGATGTGTAAGATTGGTCATTTAGTTGATAAATTAAGTGAAATTGTTGAATAGCACCAAAAGGTTTCCGATGTCGAAAGAAATATCTAAATTTGGACTTCCCCTCTCTAACCACAGATGTATTTCTCATCCCTCTGTTCTTCCCCTCCATATCCACTCTGTCCCACACCACACTCTGAGCTCATGGTAGCTGGTAGGAAACCATCATTGCTGGTTGGTAAGAGGAAGTTCCCATGGCGATGGGGTCGTCATGGGCTATAAATATGTTTACTGCTTCATGTTGGCCGGTCAAAGAGCAGGTGAGGACGCCTGCTCAAAGCAGCAGTGAGAATTTGTCTGGAGTTGTTCCCAGGCTCTCTCTTACAGAGGCACCAAATTATCCTTTTTAGCCTAAGTACTTGTTTTTAGTTGTTATTCAGGAAAATTCCCGAATAAAGGGAGATGGGCTTTAGAAATGTTAAAATGATCTAATTCCACCCAACTGGAAAACAAAAATATATAGTTTCATCGTTGCTGTAGTCAGTGGCTTCATGGTCCTATTTTGTGTCTGAAAACTTTTTTATTCTAGCACACCAACCTCAGCCATGTTACAGTGAGGCTTTTGATAAATAACACAAGTTCCCTCTTACAAATGAAACATTAAATTCATAAGAAATAAATCACATCCTTCCTCATTGTACACTCAGGGGCTTTCCTGCTACTGCCTTACTTGTTCTGGAATGACCAGTAGCTTATGATGGCTAATGTCTGCATACATAAGATGCTTATTATTGTGTAAAGCTGCATGCTGACTTTGTGACTCATCTCAACTTGTGCTTTATGTTGTATTTTAACATTTACTATTATCCTGTAATTGTACCTTATGGCCTCAGTGGCTGGTAAATAGTTACATGGTCTTGCTTTAACATCTATGACAGATAAGACTAAAGTCATGCTAACTGCTCTGTGGCCTGTACAGTAATGCTTTGAGCTAAATGCTAACATGCTCACTACGACAACGCCAATATGATTTTTCATTGTGTGAATATGTTTGCATGACAATTAGCAGGCACAATACTAGGGCTGCAACTAACGGTTGTTTTCATTATCCACAAATGTCAAAAAATGGTGAAAAATGTTGATCACTGTTTCCCAAAGACCAAGCTAACGTCATGAGGTGTTGCAAGGCCTTCTTGATTTTTCTAGAAAACTATCAACAGTAGGCCTGTATCTCTGCATTAGGTTAACTTCTGTGAAGAAATTTACATTGTCTTATAAAAAAACAATAGTCCAGCATCAGGGACAAGAGAACCAACACTTTTTGTCAAAAAAGAAACCTATTAAGTATGTGTGATTGTTAAAAATGATAAAAAAAAAAAAAAAAAAAAAACATAATACAGACAGAGAATTGTATAAAAGGTTCCCTAAACAGGAATTAATCTGCTCAAAATTCATCCATTGACACAAACGTCTTGCAGTTACTGAATTCACTATTTGGGTTACTTTTTAAATTTAAGTTGATGATGGTGCTAAATGAATCTTTAAGGGATTACTAAAGTTATAACACTTTATCCTGAGGTGAGCCTGAATGCCTGTACAGAATTTCATTGAAATCCAGGGAATAGTTGTTGGGATACTTTATCACAGAGCGGAGTGGTGGACCGACCCAAGCATCCAATCTGACCACATTACCATCCGTAAAGATTCACACCACCAACGTGGCACAAGAGAACTTGTATCTGAGCGCTTTAGCAGATTTGGATCAATAAAACATGAGGCATACAGAATGAGTTTGTTTTATATATATATTTCATAAAGACAGTTCCTGTCTCAAAGGACTGTGTGGATTTTCAGGCCTGTTTAACAGACTGTAATGGCCACTCTTCTTGACATTCACACACATACATACTGAAATCCTTTGACAGTGGGCGTGGAGGTTATTACTTATTATACTTCTTATTCTGCTCATGAATAAGTGAAGAGGGCGCCTGAGACTCCCCCACTTACCAGACACATACTAAGACACATGCACCTGCTCCTGTATGGCCCTCGGTTATGTGCACACGCACAAACACGCACACAAATCCACACCCACACTCACAGCTTCCTGGTCTACTCCCTTTCAACCCCCCTCGTCTTTGTCCTGATTGCAGCCCCAGGGGGTGGACAGTTAGGTGAGATGGCACTGCATGTCTAATGTCTTACTAATCTATTCACATTGCAAGGTAATGGTGCACAATATTGCATTTTTAGCTAAATCTCACACTCTTCACATTTCCTTTCTCTGCCTTTATGCAGGAGTGTTGAGGCATAAATAATACTTCCTAGTTGTAGTATGTAAATTGTATTCTGCGTATCTAATTGTTACATATTTCCAGTTTAAGAGTTGCTCGATACACTATGGTGTACAGGAGTTATTTATTTATTTCTGTGTGACCTTTCTCAGTGAGGTCAGTGAAAGGTCTGAGAAACCTGTTCAATAATTAAAGTGGGTTTTTATCTCTAATGCGAAGGCTCTCACTGTCCACAAACCACTCTCCTCAGAGGTGTTGAGTGATGGTTGTGGAAAAGGGAAATGAGAGTTGTTGTTCTGAATGTTTCAGCTGAAAGGGATGCTGCTGCTGCTGCTGGTTTCTCAATGAATACGCTCTACACAAGTGGTATAAACACTGTGTGAGAAATCATATGCCAGATGTTGTGACATTTTGATGACCCTAAGACGAGACGAGACGAGACAAGACAAACACCTTGAATGTTGCTTCTATATGTCTCTTAGTCATGCCATGTTCTTTGTCTCCTCTCTCTCCAGATGAATAATCCCCTAACAGTTGCAGACAGAGAGGAAAGGAATGGGATATGACTCCAGGTGATAAGGAGAAGGAAGTCTTCAGTTTAACAAAGAACATAGATGGTGAGACATTTTCCTTGAAAGCTGCATTTGAAGGATAGGCCTCTCAGTTTACATTTTTATATTTTTGTTTTTTTTCAATAAAACCAACGGAAAGACCAAAACCAACAGTGCTTTAGTCTGTCTGTGAATATTTTCAAACTTGTCTGTGACACGGCCCAAACAAATAATACCGGCTGACCGATATTATCGAACAATATTGGCCTATAGCACACAGATTGGTATCGTATTGGTGAAGATGTTATCTGATATTCACTGATATGAAAAATATTTTAGAACATGACATCCTTTAATATATTTCTGTATGTGCTTTGAATAGTAAGAGCTAGCAAGAAAGCTAGCTTAGCTTTTTAAGAGGTTCAATACATTTATCTCAACCTAAACCTAATCTCTCTTAACACTCTTAAACTATACTCAACTATATGGAAGCGGCTTTTAGTCTTATTACATGTTGATTTTTAACCTCAAACATCTGCCTGTGAGGGCCTCTAACCCTGCTGTTTTTTTCCACAGAATATTTGCCATGCTACATGGGAAGGCTCTAAACTCCACCCTGCTCTTGCTCCTCATCCTCATCATCTTTACCACTGCCCATGGTCACTCCTACCCTCGTTTTTCCCGTAATGACACTGAATTCCAGCACCTGGTGCTCCACCCAGACCCCTCCGTGGGGACGGTGTACGTGGGGGCCAGGGACCACCTCTTCCAGCTGGACGGATCAGACGGACTCCGGCTGGACCAAGAGGAGACGACCGGTCCCGTGAGCGACAGCAAAGACTGCCTTCCCCCAGTCACTGAGTTGAACTGTCCCCAGGCCAGGAGAACCAGTAATCATAACAAATTACTGCTGGTGGATCCAAAGGCGTTGGAGTTGATCACCTGCGGCAGTATCCACCAGGGCACCTGCCAGAAACGGAGCCTGGCATCCATCAAGAAGGTCCTCTTCTCCACCGAGAGGCCAGTGGATACGCAGTATGTTGCGGCCAATGATCCGTCAGTGTCCACTGTGGGGCTGGTGGTGGGCCTTCGTGGCGGGGAAAGGACAGTGATGTTTGTGGGTAGGGGCTATACAGCCAGCCACCCACCCATCTCCACCCGCCACCTTTCATCGGAACCCATCTTTTCCTACGAGGAGACGGCTAAGCTGGCCGTGGCCGGGCGTCTGTCAGAATACGACCACCATTTTGTGATGGCGTTCACACGGCGTACGTATGTGTACTTCTTGTTTTACCGCCGTGACATCAAGTCAACATTGAGGGAGTACCGGACCTATGCCGCGAGAGTATGCCTGGATGACACCTCCTATTATTCCTATGTGGAAGTTCCCCTTGTTTGCCGATCGCCTTCATCTCCCTCCAGGACTTACAACCTGCTGCAGGCTGCCCAGGTACGTTCTATGTGTCCATGCTTCTGTCTCCAAAATACTTGCTCTACAGGGAGCAACAAATCAAAATATAGCTTCTGTAAGTGTGAATTTCAAGTCTGGCTTTGAGGAATTGGTTGACATCAAGGTTAAACTGATGCTCGCTGTGTTTAACTTTGCTGAGTTTTTCCCACGCCTTTGTTGCAACAGGTGGGCCAAGGTGTGGGCAGGGAAGGCGAGGATCTGCTGGGAGTGTTCTCCACCCGCGTCGGCTCCACAAACAACAGCCCCTTGGATGCCTCGGCTCTGTGCGTTTACCCGCTGGATGAGCTTGACAGACACATCAACTCCACCCGAGACCTCTGTTACACCCAGGACGGCCGGGTGGAGGGAAGAGGAGAGGTGGCCTACATAGAGTACGAGGTCAAGTCCAGCTGTGCCAACCTGCCCATGGTAAAGATACGGTAGATAGGGGAATACAATTAAATGTTTTCGGCGTTTCACGCTCTGGTGGGAAAAAAAGGAAAACATTTTGTAGCTCTGGTCTTTTAAACCAATTATTTTGTCAATAACTCATATGAGACTGTCAAATTAATGTTTGTCTTTGGTCCACAGAATTGCATTGTATTGTTTTCTCCTGCTTTGTTTGCTTGTTACAACATGGATACTGGCCATATAGAATACATTAGGGATATACATCATGGTAAATTATTTCCTGCTGTCTCTATGTACCTTAAGTATATTGACTCAGTTGGTTTCAGTGGTCACTGAAAGACAAAACAGAAAGTAGAGCACAGTAACAAAGGACGTCTGGATTGCCAAGATTAAGCCGAGAAACAGGAAGAAATGAAGGCAGGCAAGCCTTGTAATGAGCCCCTCGTTGAAAAGACCAAAGCTCCCAGATGCCCCTGGAGTAGCTTTGCCCAGCTGCAGTCCTCCAATGACCCCCTCTGCTGCCCTGCAGCCGCTCAGGTCCCGGCAGCCCTCAGAACCATTTAATGGGATCGTTAGGGATCAATAAACCAAACTAACCCTGAATCAGCTGTGCTGCTGCTTAATGAGCTCTGACAAGGAAGGATAGGAGTTCTTTTGAAACCTACTGACATAAGAGCACAGAGAGTGAGAGAGAGAGAATGGAAGGGGGGATATACATGGGAATGGAAAGACTAGCATACAGAGCGACAGGGACAAAGAAAATAATCTAGGGGAAGAAAAGGGAATGCTGAAAGAAAAATAGATGATTGAAAGATGAGAAGGACGATGAGAGAGATGCATTAGATCACAGTTTCCCTTGCAAGAACGATAATCCTATTTTTATTTCATAAACTCCAAGTAGACTAAAAAAAGACGTCTCATTCTACTTCCTCCTTCAGGGCCAATTATCTGGAGCCAGAGCTCGGAGACTTACTGGAAAGCAGGATTTGGAGGGGTTGTTTTGCCGAACCAAAAGAGCGAGTTGGCTGTGCCCGTATGAGTCTACTTTAATCTATGGTGCAATCCTCTTATGATGAATTAAGAGGATTCAAAGGCTCTGAGGCAGTCATAGGAAAGAATGGGTGACAGATTGAAAGGACCTGAATATGAATTTGTTAGTCTGAAGCTTAGGTGTTTGAGACACTAGGATCAATAAAACAAAAATAATCTGTAACAATGGAAAGTTTTTGTTTCAAGCAATAAATAACTCAAAATGGCATCAATAAAACTCCCTGTTTCATGTTAACTTAAAGATCCCCTCCAGACAAGCATTAAGACATATACAACTGTCTTATATTTTCCTCAGAAAACAGTATAATATCCACATAAAAATCCTTAAAAGACATCTACTCCTTTTACCTCATTAAAACTTCCAGAATCTCTGAATATGCAAATGTTGTTCATTTCTAAAGTTTTCCTGTTGGACACAAGATGTCTACTACTTCACTGTAAAGTCCATTCTCAGTGTATGTGCACTGGTGGCTTCAAGTTTCTACATCACAATGTACAAGTTACATACTGGAACAGGACTGACTTCCAGACTATTTGTGATGTCGGATTTTCAATGAGCACAGAGAAACTTTCCACTTTCAGCAGATGAATGTGAAAACATCCTTCTAGTGTCAAACTCTGCACATACAGCATTCAAACAGCACACTGTAGGAACAAGAAGAAAGCACTCCAAACATTTTTTAGTAGAGGGGGTCTTTAAGGACAAACCAGCTAACCAATCTCTCTGTTGTGGTCATATGTTGCAGAATACCCTTAAGGCCTATGCTTGCGGCTCTGACCACACCCCCAGTCCAATGGCAAGCCGGGAACCGCTGGAAGCTAAGGCTGTGTGGCACACATCAGCTGCCCGTCTCACAGCTGTGGCCGTCAGTGTCAGACAGGGACACAGCATCGCCTTCCTCGGAGACTCCAAAGGGACTCTGCACAAGGTAGCTCCTCCCATGTGCTGTCATACGTACTTTTATTTTTGTGCCAGTTTCTCTCAGGGCCTTGAGCCTGCCCCAGCATGCACTAGGTGGAGGGCAGGGAGACACCATGGACAATTAAGGCAGTTTCCCAATTTTCCATTCAAGACAATCACACAGGTTGGGTTTACTTAATACTGTGATCCCTGCAGCCCTTCCCTTGTGGCTGTTACCGCCTGCTCCTTCTAAGGATGTCTGTGAATCATTTCCCCACAAAGCAAACACACCTAAAACATTTGCAACCAATTACAGGGATTTTTCTCATATCCTTCCACATCGCTACAGCCTGGAAGATTCCAGTCATACCGACATTCATAGTTTTCCAACATACACATACTAGCATACCAGCATGATCCCATGCCTAATACATTTGCTTTCTGTTCTGTGGACTGCAGTATGTGATTGTTGGAGACTGGAACCTGATGCATTTTTGAGCTAATGTTTTTAAGAAGTGATACATTTTTTAAGTATTGTTGGAAGCCTAGTGCAGTGTATCTTCCAAAAAGAGATTTTTTGACTTTATTTGTCTAAGTACTGCTTTTTACAGTATTGTCCAAGTATTATCACCACCTTTTAGAACAACATCTGTATAGATCTGACAGTTAGGCTACATGTAGGGCTTGAGATAAGAGGATTGCGGACATAACTCTGCTGTGAGGTATTCGAGGAGTAGGTTATCTCCTAGTAGGTCCACTTTGCTCTGTATGTGCATGTGTGTGTTTGATGTGTGTGTGAAAGAGAGGGAGTGAGACAAAGAGTCAGACGTAGTGCTTTTAGGTAGCAGATCAAAGCAGCACTCCATGTAGCCATCTGAAGTAAGCTATTGTAACAGGATTATCGTATCACAGCAGGACAAATTCCACAGCATCCAGATACAGTGTGTGTGTGTGTGTGTGTGCTGTGTGTCTGTGTGTCTGTGTGCTGTGTGTGTGTGTGTGTGTGTGTCTGTGTGTCTGTGTGTCTGTGTGTCTGTGTGTGTGTGTGTGAGAAAGGCCCCTCTTGGTATTTTAGACCATATACCAGTGTATTTGTAATGACCAGTCTAACTGGGGACACAATTAGTGACACCAACTCGTTTTTAGTGCAGTTGTCAATAGTTTGGAATTGCAATGTTTTGGAAAATACAAAAAAATATTAGACGAGAACATTGATACTGTGTCATTCCGTTGAATATAAATACAATTTTAATATGATACCATATGTCGGTACACTAATTAGGAAGCTAAAACCAGCAAAGCAATCTCCCTACCAGCACCTCTAAAGCTCACAAACGAACAAGTTTTATCTTGTTTGTTGAAAGTGTACGTGGGGGTTAGGTGCTGGACTATTTCTTGGAACAGTGAGTCTTTTGGGCACTGTTGCCTGCCAACCGGCAGAGACTTGTGTTTTTTATGCCTTGGTTTTCGTATTGATTCATCGAACAAGATATGACATGCTGATTTATTAGCTTTACAGGAACTGGTAGGCAGACTTTTTTCACCTTTTCACTGTGCCAGGCTAGCTGGTTCACCATATCCTGGATTTAGCTTCGTATTTGGAATACAGACACGAGAGTCATATTGATAGAAGCAAGAAAGTGAATAAGCATTTTTCCTTATATTGCCTCTTCAATATGGCATCATATTCTCTATAAAATAAATATGACACGCAAAACAACAAACTGCATAAATGTTTCTAAATCATCATGCATTACAGAGCTACTTCCCATGCCATTATATGTTGAGTGCATCCTCTTAATGGGACAACTGATTCTCCATTCTGTTCACAGTGATCAAGTGGGAGCCTTATGGAAAGAGGCATGAAAACCTCTGCTAATCTCATTAACATGAGGTAACATGAGAGTTTGAAGGCCTGGGAATCACTTAAGCCAGAGGTGTCTTCCTGTGCTCCATATTAGATTTGACTGTGCCGTAATCACATTCATGGCCACTTCTGCTGCGATCCTGCACAAGTGTGATTTGATTTGCACTCGAGTTGTAAGCTGAAGAAGATATTCCCTTTGCCGCCTTTTTTCTTTTTTGTCAGCTCTCTTTTTAGTCTTGCAGTGTCCAAAATCTCTAGAAATGCTTGTCTGTACAGTAGATATAAATCAATTTCTAGTGATATTCACATATATAAATACTGTACCATTTTCTGAAGTGTCTGTTTTTTTCTGGTGCACTCTTCAGGTATATCTGGGCCAAGATGGCCAGGTGGAGGTATATGCTAACATGACGATCCAGCCCAACTCACCCATTAACAGTGACCTTTTACTGGACCAGAATGGAGCACACATCTACATCATGACAAAAACTACTGTAAGTCTAAAGATATTAGTAACGCTGTTTTTGGACAGTTGGAGGTGGAAAATGTAATTTTATGTGTAAAAGAAAATAAACAACATGGAATCCAGCCGATTATGTTGGCAAGTTCACAAGTTTCATGTGATTTATCCTCGAACCACTCAACAGATGTATTAACAGCCGTGGCCTTCTTGGTGAGTCTATCCATTCAGACACTCACCCAGATGTCTCCATACACGAGACTGAACATGGCTTGTCATTCATCGTCAGACAATTTATCGTTTGTCAGAGTTTGTCAGGCTTTGATACTTCCTCAAGCTGTGTCTCTCTCACAGATAAAAAGGGAAAGAGAATAAGAGGCAAAGAGCGTAAGAGAAAACAGAGAGGCCAGCTGGCTGTTGGGGTCAAAGGTCACTAACCCCACTGTGATGGGTACAACAGTCAGCAGGAGGTGTAAGGTCAGACATAACAATGGTATTGATCAGTGAAAGTGGCCTACATTGTGTTGGCACACTCCCTACAGAGTGTCTGTGTGGGTAGCCATAGATGCTGGTGAATGGATATGGGAAACTGCTAGTCTATACATTGAAAGGCTTGTGTCACTTTTGTACCACTGAGCGTCTTAACTTAGCTCAACAACCATATGCACAAGCATTGCCATTGTTTTAAAGCTGCAGTAGGTAATTTTTCTTAAAATGTTTTTTGTCATATTTGCTGAAACTTTCACTATATCCTGACAGTAGAACATGAGACAGATCATCTGTGTGCAAAAGCAGCTTTAAAGCTACCGGAAGAGTTTCATGAGCAGACTGAAGTTTCGTATCTTGGAGTCAGAAATATTGTAATGTTTTTGAATTTTGAATTTTTGAATGAATTCCATTTGAGGCAGCATTTGAACAACTTTGAAGCACTACAGACTCAACTAGTGTTAACTTAATTGGCCTAAGGTTTAAAAAAAGGTAAAAAAGCCATAACTTGCCTATAGCTACCCAGGTACCAGGTAGTAAAGCTAGTTAGTGAAATGTAAAGCTCATTTAAAGGTCCAGTGTGTAATATTTAGGAGGATCTATTGTCAGAAAGGGAGGCAGCCATGTTGAACCACCATGTTTCTACAGTAGGGCCTTTTGCATTTTTCTTGAGTTTCTGAGCTGTATTCAAACTGCACTTTCACCAATAGATCATTCTGAATCCTACACACTGGTCCTTTAATATTGCTAGGCTAATAATTCAGTCCAATTCTTTTGCAAACAATAAGAAGAAAACCCCCCAAAAGTGGAAGATAGTCTCAAAACAATCCAATGCTCTTCAGGATTTGGCAAATACTAATAATAAAGCAATGATAATTCTGCTTACTCAGTCAATAGCATTGTGACTGGCAATATTGTGGTCTCAGACCTTAATAAAAGTAGAATTTTTACTTAATTAGTCTGTTATACAGTGGAGAACATAAAGGAGAGATACAGACTAGTAGCATACCCCTGGTATCTACCAAATTCAAAACAGTCTTAGTACTGACCCTTACTTATCTGTAATTTCAGGTAGAGAAGCGTCCAGTTGCAGAATGTGGAGATCACCTGGACTGTCAGTCCTGTCTGTCTGCCAAAGACCCTTACTGTGGCTGGTGTGTCCTGGAGGGACGGTGAGTCAGTGTACATGTGTTGTAAAAAGAAAAAAAAAGTAATAGTGGGGCTACTGTGAGTTTTCTCATGCATCCTTCTCCGCTTTCTCTTTCCTTGTCTCTCTTACTTCTCTGTTGTATTTCAGGTGTGGTCAGCGCTGGGAGTGCCAGCGAGGGTCTGAGCAGGGCCAGTGGCTGTGGAGTTTTAACCAGATGCAGCAGTGCCTCAGTATCCAGCACCTCAGCCTCTACAACATCAGCCGTGGGGAGAAAACTGATGTAATGCAGGGGCAAGAGTGGGAAACAGATGGGAGTAATGCAATAAGAGTCTAGTGTGTGCCTGTCATAGTCTTTCTGGACTCTTTTTAAAGTTAAGATATGTGTGGAACCCTCAGTCGGTGGTGTCAAAGAACAACACTTCACACAACATCTTTTTCCCTTCTTTTCTTGATGTCCCTTTTCCATTCCGTCTCCCTCCCTCAGATTACAGTGTCAGTAGAGGGCCTCCCCAGTCTAGGAAAAGGAGAGGCCTACTCTTGCTTCTTCCAGGACACAGAAAGCCCAGCCTCACTTACCAACACTGGTGTTACATGCTCTACCCCTGATGCCAGCAGTCTGCCCCCCATTGGCCACGGAGATGGTGAGTGCCTTTGTATTTGGTCAGCAATTATACCCAATTGATAAGCTGTATTTCAGTATATAAAACATACAAAAGTAGCATGCAACAAGGACTATCAGTTTTTAAATTCTTACTGTGAGTCAAAAACTTGAAATTTAGCATTATAATGCTTGAAGAATGACACAAAACCTGGTCAGATAATTTCAAGTTGACCTATGCTGGCTTGGTTTGTTCCGATACAGAGTTTGTGATGGTGACCCTGTCGCTGCGTTTCATCAACGTGACGGTGGCAGAAACAGAATTCACCTTCTACAACTGCAGCTTGGTCCAGCAGCTCTCTGGGCGCAGGCCGTGAGTACACGCACACCCATCAGCTCTGCCAAGGCGTTGTCAGCTTGTGACCTCTGAAAGAATGCCTGTTTGCACATAGTTATTAGATGTCTCACTGAGGCTGCTGAGATCTTGTGCATAACTAAAGCAATGCATTGTTGTTTTGAATAATTCAGGATTCCCAAATATTAGTTATATGTTGTTTGAGGAAAATGTTGATTTATGTTCTGTAGTTCAGCATGTATAAATAATAAGTGGAAGCTACAGAGTGAAATTCCAGGAGGTGCATGTGAAAGGAACAGCAAAGTACAATTAAAACAGTGTTAGATCATCAGTGTAGGATGTTGTAAGAGTTTTTTATTGTTGCTAATTTTCTGCCTCTACACCTGCTGTGTGCTTTCTGCTAGATGCCAAGGGTGTGTCAGCAGTCGCTGGGGGTGTAACTGGTGCATCCACCAGCATGTCTGCACACACAAACACACGTGCAGCCAGGGTGTCACCATCTACAACCAAAATGTGAGTCCACAGGAAGGCGTTTGACTGTATTGAGAAATATTTAAATTTGGATAGATTTGAGGGTTTATTACACTCAGTTGCCAGTGTATTAGTTACAGCTTGCTAAAACAAATGCTAACTGATTTCGAGAGGTGCTGATTCAACTGTATGATCATTTTGGAGGATTCGTAATGTTGCTGAACTGTGTTGCATTATATTGCGACATATTTCTAATATCTTATCCACCCCAAGTGTACTAAATAACAGATCAATAATAATAATAACTAAGCAAAGATTAGACTTAAAAATTCATTCATTCACAAAAAGCGAAAACACAGGTAATAAAATCATCAGGTTTTAGAATAAAATCAAATCAGCAAACAGATAAAACAAGAAACACATTTCAGTAAAGAAAGAATTCAAATTCAAGTAAAATCAGGAAAGGGTCTCAAATAAAAGTATGCTTTAAGAAGGGACTTAAAGGAGATCACTGACTCAGCCAACCTGATTTCTTCGGGCAGATTGTTCCAGAGCCTCGGGGCCCTGGCCCTTTGTCCCCTTTCTTTTTCAGCTGGAACAGACAAAAGACCTCTGCCCTAAATCGGAGATACAGCAGGGGGAGAGGCCATGTAGAGCCTCAAAAGTAATAAAAGTTAAAAAAAATTCCAATCCAGTCTTCATGAAGGCAGGATTTATTGTAGCACTGTTGGTCTGCATTAGATTTAGCTAGGTGTACCTAATAAAATGGCAACTAGGTTTGTTTCGCTGAGCATTTATCATACTGCACTGTGCAACATGCTGTACACATTAGTCTGTGCATGCATTGTCTGTTTGCTGTGCTTGGTGTAGCTTTCTGTTTGTCTTTTAAGTAAATTGTTTTACCATAAAACCTTTTTTCTTTATGTCACTCATAAGTTGCTTCTTAATGTTATTTGCGTACCCTTTTGTTTTATCCTAATTTTGTCTTCCCCCTGCCTTTTTTCTTGTCCTCTCCTTTCCTCGCTTGTTCACTCGTGCTACTCCATCGTCAAGTTCAAACCGCCAACACCCACCATCCCACCACCCACCAGAAAACTGACCCCTTTACCTCCTACTGTGGGGGCTGCTACAACAACAACAAGACCAACAACAACAACAGCAGCCGCAACACAGCCACCACCCACAGTGACACCTAGCCCCACCGCAGCAGCTGTCCCTTCAACTACCACCATAGTGACACCACACACCACTCATAACGCTGAATCCACCTCGCCCCTTACCACGGCCACAACTTCCCCTTTTGTCAGAATCTTCACCCAGGCGACCACCACCATTCACACTGATGTCACCACCACAGGCGGCTCCCTCTCTGATTGGGAGGAAGTGACAGAGGGAATTGGCGGCGCTACAGGTTTTTCAGAGGATGAGGAGACTGAAACTGGGGCTGTCACTGACGAAACCCTCCACACTACACTACCCAGCAGCACTAGTGGCCAGGTAGACACAGACTTGAGATTTTTAGAGCCATCTGGTGAATCGGTGGGCTCTTCCTCCGGTGTGAGCTCAACCACCTCCAGTGAAGTGGGCCTTTTAATAGACCTCCCTGTCAGTGACAATAAGGAGGCCATTCCTCTGGCCAGCTCTGACGAGAATGACTCACCTCTGTGGTTGAATGAGTGGGAGAAGCCAGAGGAAGAGACAGCCACAGACTCTGCAACAGGTGTATCTCTTGCAGGCACCAGCAAGAAGTGGTTCATCTACACACAAACACCTGAAACGGTTACTGACCCCGACTCTGAATCTGCAACAAACTTCCAATCAGATTCTTGGACTGACTCTTATGTTCGGGTGAGTGCAGAAGCCATGTGTGCAGCTAGTGTAGAAATGGTACTATTATATAGCCCCGGTCACCATGAGAAAGTGTTTAAAGGAGAAGTTTGGTTTCCTGACAAGAATTAGACATGTAGAATGATACCACACTCATATATGTTTGTTAAATATGGAGCTACAGCCAGGAAGTGCTTGGCTTAGTGTAGCATAAATACTAAGAGCATAAAAACATAAAAACAGCTGGCTGTTATATGTTAATCTGTACAAGAGAGACAAGCCAGCCCCACTACTAGTCGTTATGCAATGCTAAGCTACCTGTGGCTGTAGTTTCATATATAACAGAAAGCAATAAAGAATTATTATAAGCAGATTAACCAAACTGTTGAACCTTTCCTTAAAAAAATACTGCCTACTTTAATTAACCCAGGAAGATCTAAGCTCTGCTGCCAGTATGAAACTATATGCTCCACATTCTGCAGCATTGCAAACAATGAGGAATACTGCAGTTGTCTTTATTAGCTCTCCTGTCAACAAGAAAGGCAAATGAGTGACACAGAATCAATGTAATCTCAGATGAGAGGATGGATCTGAGTCATTTAAGGCACTAACCTGACCGGTCTTATTGACTAGTCTACCCTCTCCATACCATTTCTGTTCACCTCATTCAGTGCTAGCTGCAGATAATAATGTTACACTGATCTCCAACATTCCCTGATCATGACATTATTTATTTTTCTCCCTCTTTGTGTTTTACTTGTTGTGTCTAATGTTTCAGCACTGTGGTGTGTTTTTGTGATGGTGGTTGCCTGGTTTTTGCTTTTTATTTTATTTTAATGTTTTGTTTGCAGGTGTAGTCATAAATTTGGTCTTAGATGGGAAAGCTACTCCTACTTTTTATTTATTTAAATCCTTAGATTATTTTCATACACTACACAACCAACAGTAGGTAGACCATCTCAATTTGTTACATTTCTGTGCACAGGCAAATCTAGGTTTGGTGGAATGCCCAGATTGACATACCAACAGTAATGTTTTGTTAAGGACACATGATTTTTTCCGTGTTCAGTGAAACTCTTCTCATGTTGTAACACGACAATGCCCCCATGCACAATGTCTATACAACATTAGTTACCACACAGATGGAAGAAACATTTACAAAAGCACACAAATCCCAACATGATACCTAAATACCAGGCACTGGACCAGAGGACATGTACAAAAACAGGAAAAATAAGTGATTGCTTCCATGAACATTCATTAGTATACAAGCATGTGACATTTTGGGTGTAAGCCCTCCATCAGACATGAAACAAATGCAAAGGCGCCTTTGCTACGAGTACCTGTCCAATGAGGTCACCTGACAGGTCATGTGATTTCAAAAAGGTCAACCAAAAAGAAAAAGCAATGCAGTAAAGTATAATAAATTTGTACAATGAGCCCTGTTAAATATAATTCATATGTACAATATGTTCTAAACCACCTAAATATACCAAAGCAGAATCATCAGTTAAATAAAATGTCATCATTACATGGCATATTGAGAGGAGAGAAATATACTAGTAGTTAGTAAAACATATAATTCATAATAAAAATGTACAATAAAGTCCCTAGAAAGTATGACAAATATACACGTATATACGCAGCTCCATATTACACTTAAAAAGATACACCTATCTGTGAGGTCAAAGACCTAGTACAGTACCTAGAACTTAAGCAGAGAAACTAGAGCATCAGGTACGATCCATAATAATGTAAAGCAATGACAAGGTCATAATGTAACTACTTTAGAGGTGCTTTTGCTAATCTAACTTGAGCTACCTGCACAGAGCCAAGATCTGAACATCTGTTATGAACTGGAACATGAGTCAGGTTTAATATGTAACAGCAGTAACCCTAATGCCACTTGTTCAACAGATGTTCAAACATCACATGGAAGTCTGCATCAGACAAAAGAACTTAACAGTGGAGCAACCACATCTAAAGGCCCATGATTATATGAAATAAGTTCTGTATAGATATTTCTCATTGCAATGATTAATAATGTGTCATCAGGAATGTCCGTGTGTGGAGAGAGTTCAGGATTCTTCTCTGCTGCCTGTCAATGTGGAGAGGAAAGTCACTCTGGTGGGGCAACATCTAAACCTGTTCCAGGTAATGTAACCATCCTCAGGGTCAACAGCCCCTTGCCTTGGTAGAACGGGACTACATTGAGCTGTTTTCAGGCAGGTTAATCACATGATCTATGAACATGAAAGCATATCCATCGTCTAGCTTCAGCTTAAAGTGTCAAGGCTGGGATTTGTTTTATGTGATCGTCAAGTCTCTTCACCAGCAGAGAGCAGCTTTGCAAACATATTCTGAAAAGATGTTGCTACATTTCCTGCTCAGTTTATAAGGATATAAAGGCTCATATTAAAAGCTCTACTCCTCAGGGGGTTTTGATGCATGCTGCGGTTTAGGATAGATTTTCACTGCTTTGAGAAAAAGGGATTTATTATGTGAAGACAAATAGCAGCTTTTGCGACTAATGTGTGTGTCTGTGTATTCCAATGTATGTGGTGTGTACATTTAGGATGAGAGTTTGGACTACGAGTGTGTGTTGGACGTTGAGAATCAGTCAGTGGTGGTGGATGCCTCTGTGGAGCCAGATGCCACACAGCAGACACTCTTCTTTATCACCTGCCAACCCCACCAGGTCAGAAAATACCTCAATATGGTGATTTATCTCAGTGTGCTGAACCTTTTTAGTGTCTGGAAATAATTGTGTCTTCAGCCCCTTGAAATTTACAACTTGAAAACAAATGTTTCCATGCACCGGTCCGTTTTGAGTCACATTAGTGGAAATAAAACGCCCAAATACACATTAGATAATACCTCATTTGCACATTTAAACATAACATTTCAGATAATTGTTATGATGTAAGTAATCAGCTGGGAAAGTGCCTAGTGATATATTATGGGGTTTTTTTACATTTTAAATACATTATACAATGTTTCTTTTTTTTATTTCTACAAACCTCTTTAAAGGCTGTTTTCTCTAAATTAGTTCTTTTTTCTCACACTCTAAGCCAGAAATCTCCATTTTAGCAGCACTTAGATAGAGACAGATACACCAGACCTTCCAGTTTTATTCCTATCTGTGTTCTGAATGTTTTTACAGAGGGGTCTGTCCATATGTCATTCATAGACTGATTTATATAAAATTTTATTCTTTAAAACATGGCTCTATAAAAGTTTTTATAGAGGAAATTATGTAAAAACCTTTCTTTTTAGATGGAGAAGTGTTTACATAATTCCCTCTATAAGAACATTTGACTGTCAACAAAATTAAACAAGAATTTTGAACCTGTCTTCATACAATGCTCAGATCTCTGTTCTGGAAATGTATGCAAACTATAGAGTTTTTTAATTAGGTAAATTGCATATTTAGCGATACAATTTCAGTAAACTTCTAATATAAACAATTATTGTCTGAATATAAGTTATCACCTGGGGAAGCTAATGATGATACCTCTTAGTTAAAACACAACGTCTCACCTTACATATTCCTGACTTAATATGCAACAATCAGTCAGAGTTTATAGAAAATACATTGTCCTAAAAAACTGAGTCTGCATCTTCAGTGTGGGTGGTGGTGATTTGGGTCAGATTGGGCAAACACTGCTAGTAACATACTGTAAGCAAACAACCCCACAACTGATTCAAATACTGCAACAGTGATCGGTGTGCAGAAATACACGTCGCATGAACCCTGCCGACTTCAAACCAGTGAGAAAAACAAGAACCACAACACAAATGCACAAATCTGTAATGTGAAATAACCAAAAGAGTTAAAACTTTAGCAAAATATCATATAATTTCTAGTAATAAACATACATAGACAGTTACCACTGTGCAGCAGCAATACAAGGATGTATCAACTTTCTCTGACCACACCCATCTAGTACCATTCATAATGGCTATAATCACTATAATATCTACAAAAAGAAAGGTTGCAACTAACACCAATAAACCAATGGCATGCCATGTTAACAAAAATCAATAAACTGCCGGCTCCTGATTATGTGCTTTTGTGTTTCCAGGAGTATTTTTCATTTGTTCTTATAACCAGATAATTTGACACATACTGTCACTGAGTGTGCACATCATCAGCTCATAAACCATATTACAAATAGTGATTATGCTGGTTTGACTGTTAATTACGTTTCTTTTTTCAGTACGCCTATTCTTCCAAGATGGAGGAATACGCAGCCATGATCAACGTGAGGAGAAAGAACAACTTTCTTATCGACAGCGCCGAGGATCTGTATGGTGAGGACACAGAGTGTGTGTGTGGGGTGTGTGTGGGAGATGTGAGACAATCTGATTACGTGCAGTAGTGGGTAGATACTGTATAGTTTATTTGACATTAAGATAATGTCATTTACTCACAGACTTCCCCTTCTTCTGCCTTGTTTCAGTGACTCTGTTCAATTGTTCCGTGGGGCGGTCGGACTGCAGCCGATGTCGCACTGCTGACCCAAAGTACGGCTGTGTCTGGTGCGGCGGTGCTGCGAGCTCTCGCTGCGTGTACCAGGACTCCTGCACTGATGAGATCCAGCGCACCTGTCCTGCACCTGTCATTCACTTTGTAAGAATTTACCCTGTTTCGAACACTTTCTAAATATTCTGTTTGCAGTAGGAGAAATTAGAGAAAAAAGGCTGGAAGTTCCTAATGATTTTCTTTTTTTGTCTGGCCTTTTGTGTTGGAAAACATCAGTGTGAAAACAGAAAGATACAATGTGAATTGTCATCTTGTTTCGACTAAAGGATTCTTTTAGCTCAGTTGGGTTGATTTTCAAACCTAAAGGTTACACAAAATTCACTTGCCACCAGATGTTGCACTTAAGCATCTCTGACCAAAACTAATGGGCACAACGGCCAACCAGACTCCATTGACAAAATCAGTAATTTCACCTTGATGTAAACAAAATAAAATTCACATCAAAACCGTCTTTGTTAGTCTTTCCACAGTTTTTCCAACTATCCCTATTGGGTTGAAATAAACCCTTAATTCACAGAGTTAGATGAGCCACGAAATGGCTGCCATGTAACATTAGCTAATCCTTCGGGACAGATGCGCCCGTCAAAGTATGTCCATTAAAAGGGCTTGTTTTTTGCCACTGACAGTCTCAGATTGTGTCTGGAAACATTATGGGAAGGCCTTAGAATTTTGCTTAACCAGAAACAACTTAAATATCGCTAATACCAGACGCTATTGACAAAACCTGTGATTTTACCTCACATATCATCCTTACATCATAACTTCATTTAAATTGGAAAATGGGAGTGTTGCACCAGGACTCCACTATATCACACAGCAAATAGCTGTATGTTGCAATTCTAATATTTAAAATCTCATATAACCTTTAATATGAACCGCTCTTTGTCAGATTTACTTTGCTCCTCTTTGGTTTAGTTTTTATTTTCCCAAATGAAAATTGAACTGGCAAAAACACATGTATGAAAACAGACTCATCTATCAACTCCTCATCATTCTAAGAGATGTGGAAGACATGCAACAATGGTCCCAATGATTCTTAACCCTCAGTTTGTCAGTCAAACTGCACAATACTGCATTAAACCATACACCCAGTTCCATACATTGTATTGAACCATGGGCTGACTGTATCATTATGTCACACTGTCATGGTATCTAAGGCATTATGTCAGATATACATGTCATACATCTGGTCTTCTTGTGTTTCAGTTGGACCCGGTATCCGGCCCCGTAGAGGGAGGGACAGTAGTGACCATTTCAGGCTCTAACCTCGGCCAGAGAGCTGAAGACATCCAGAACTCAGTGACAGTAGCCGGGGTCCCCTGCAGTGTCATCCACAGCAGATATGAAGTGTCCTCAAGGCAAGTTATTGGTACACCTGAACGTAAAAATCTTGTAAAATTAACTCGTTTTTTTTTTTTTTCCATCTTGTGTAACTGTGACGGTCTTTATCTTGTAGGATAGTGTGTGAGACTACGAGCAGTGGAGGAGAGAAGAGTGGTCAGGCCTCAGTCAAAGTGAGGGGAGGAGGACTCGGGCTGTCTGCTCAGATCTTCCGCTTCCAGGTAACAGTCAGTATGTTTACATGCAGAAATCAGGTAACCTGAGTCATTTATTATTCAGAGTGCTCCCCTACCAGCAACCTTGTATTTGTTAGTGAGAGCACAGCTTGTCCTCAGAGCACCAATATGAATTTTACATTACAGTTTTTAGAGGTGTGAATCACTGGCCTCATGATTCAATTTGAATTTTCTATATCACTGAAAATAGCTAGCAGTCAGATAAATCTGAACTCAAAATCACACTACTCGATTAGCTTTACTAGTTTTTGTGCTTCCCAGTAAGTTCATAAAATCCAAAATGTGCCCAGATGTCCCCTTTAAATACTGTGGGCATTTTTTTATGACTCGCTGTATTGTTAGCGCAGTGTTCACAATTCATTGCAAGTGACGTAACTTTACAACGTTATTGTCCAGCCTAGGCCGAAAAATCAACAATCAGCATTAGTAGGCTACAGTTCTGTGTAGGTTGCAAACTCCTGATTATGTTCAGTCAGTGCATCGATGCAGAATCTTCCACATCCGCATGTTAGAGTCGAGACATTTCCACACCTCACCTAACAGTTTTACAATTTTAACTCCACATCCAACCGACATGGACTCAAGTGATGTCACTTTATTCCAATTTATCAGACTTCCTGTATCTCCCTCTGGAGCCGTGGAAGGCTTTATACAACTCCTCATTAAATCATTTGACCACAGAAAGCAGACTGTATAGTGCATATAAACCCACTGAATAGATACACAAACTCGTGCTACACACTTTTAGCGAGCCTGCCTCTGCAGAATTTTATAATTATGCTGAAGCAAGTAAACAAGCATTTAAAAAACAAAGGCATCTCTGGGGCATTTTTTTACACCAAGCAGCAGTTACTTTGAATTCTTGCACGTTTCCCCCTGAGTTTTGGTTCAGTTACATATATGAGAACATAGTAATCTTTTGTTGGGTGTGGACCAAAACAGACGCACTCTCTGAGAGGGGGAGTCCCCTGGGTGTTTCTCTAACCCTAATCCTGAAATGCCTCATTTGCAGAATGTGATGCAAATGCGATCTGTCAGCGATCGAATACAACTTCAGGAAGCATAAAGGAATGACTGGTTGTAACAGTCCACGGAAGCCGTTTAATCTCCGTGTTTGTTTGTCCATGAAAAAGAAAGTGCTCTCCCACAGAAGATCTCTGAGCAATTAAGGAAATGACAGCTCGCTGCTCCAAGCTTTTGTTGATTAGGCTTCACTTGAAACTGTGCCTCATGAAATGTAAGGGAACCACTGCGATGCAATAAAGTAATAACATGTCTCCCTGTTTACATTACAGTAAAAGGACTGTAGGTTTGACAACAGCCTTAATTAATTGGCCTAAGTGACAAGCAAATTAATTGTTATACTAGCTCGCTGTGAGGCAGCCTTCTAGTGTTTCCCAGAATGCCCTGGTGTGTCTTTTTATCTTCCCAATAAATCACAGCCTCAGTATCGGATTATTGATTATGCTTTTTTTTTTTTCCCTCTCTTTGCATCTCATCCTTTACCTTTCTTCTTCTCTGTGTCTCTCCGTCACCAGAATCCCGTGCTAAGCAGCATCTTCCCACAAAGGGGGCCCAAGGCGGGGGGTTCGTCTCTCACCATCAGGGGCCGGAGACTGAGGACGGGACACCCGAGCGAAGTCAGCGTCTTAATCGGAGGAGTGCCATGTGTGGTGTAAGTGTCTCTAACTGACTGTGAATGAGGACAGTGAGTTATAAAAGCACTTGAGTAAGCAGACTGGTTAATATGTGGGCTGTGAATGTAAAATGTCTCCCTCTGTTCAGGCTAAACATTCAGGAGGATCAGATCAGCTGTCTGACCAGAGGCAGCAACAGAACCGGAGAGCACGGTATCACTGTGCGGTTTGGTGGGGCAGAGCGACACCTGCAGGGTTTGGTCTATCATTACACCCCCAACCCCAACATCACAATGGCTGCTCCGTCCAAAAGCTTCCTCAGGTGCTTATCCGTCTTAACAGAGCAATCTTGGGACAATCAAGTATCTTTCCTTGATTTTAACCATCTACATAATGTACATTGTATAATTGCTATAATGACACTGTTCTCTTACAGCAGAGGTTTCCAAAGTGGGAGGCAGGTGTCCCTGGGGGGGGGGGTCCAAACAGTGTCAGGGGAGGCTTAGTGAATGGAAGTGAAAATATTATCGGAATGAGATCACATAGAGTATCCAATATGTTTTTGATTTAGTTAAAGAGAGTTCAGAGATACAGTAGTTCTGGGAAATTTTACCCAGAGTCAGAAATGACTAAATGCCTTAGGGAAGACCTTATGTCTTGTGCTCTGGTGTTTAAGAGGCTAAAAGGTGAGTGTAACAACTCAGGAACCTGATTTGTTTATTGAAAGATTATCAACCATGTTTACAGCAATAGGTTGTGTCGTTATTACTGTTTTGTTAAAATTTCAGGAAACTTTATTTAGGATCGCATTTCTTCCATACCTACTGTACACTACAGGCCAAACATTTGGAAGCAACAAGTTTCTGTTCACAATGCCTTTCTTAAAAACCAGTGTAAATTCTTTGGATTTTGGGAAGTATTTACTTACCTAATTGGTCTCCAACAAAGGAGTTCACTACACCCTGAAGAGACTAGAAGAAACTGGAAGTTATGATAGCAAAAGGTCTGAAAGAAAGCGGGTTATTACAAAAGCAGAGGATAAACATATCATTGTCACAAGTAAGAGAGATCGTCGAAAAACAGCACCACAAATAAGGGAGGAAATCAACATGACAAGGTGCACAACCCACACGGAAAGGGGTAGGATCAAAAAACCACACTTCAAAGAACAAAAAAGGAAGAGCAAGCACACAAATCCGACGACAAGTCACCAAGTACGATTGGTCAAATCACAGAGTCAGCCGCAACAAACTTAACGCCAACACCAGCAACACCCACAAAAACAGGGGGCCAGCAAGGATCAGGATGGGAGTAAAAAGGACAAAAAACACAGCATTTTTTTTTTTTTTAAAATTTTTTTTTTTTTTTTTTTTTTTTTTTTTTAAAAAAAAAAATACCCCAACTTTTTTTCCACCTCTTTCTAAGGTTCCCAAAAAAAAAAGAAGAGGAAGGTGTTCTTCGAAAAATGGTTTGGCCCCCATATTTCCCATGTTTCCCACATGGGATCTCATATGATTAAATGTAGGAAAGATGCTACCACAGGTTGCAACTTGTGGAAATCATGGCACCTATATTTCCTACCTCTTCACCTTGTGGGATAAATAGACTCTGCGGTTCCAAAAATGTCTCCTCTGCAACTGATATTCAGCAGCAGAAAATACTTGGTTTTGCGCTCCATTGCTTTCCAGACACACAAGAAATAGCCCGGCATCAGACTGCCACCATCAGATGAACTGCTGCTGTGCACAATCACATCTGTAGTTTCAGTAAATAGTCCACTAAACTGAAAGATCGCAGCGATGCAAAACTGTCATTTTGACACGCTTAATCGATATCCCAGGATGTCAGATTTCTAATCTAATAAAATGTAATGATCTTTCTAACCATCACTTTCTTCTGTTCCTCTGCTGTCCCCTGCAGTGGAGGCAGAATCATTAGAGTCTCTGGTCAGAACCTGGATGTGGTCCAAGAGCCCAAAATGAGGGTCACCCTCAGTCCTCCCGATACTCTCCCTCCGAGGAGGAGAAGGGGCATCGATAGGAGGAATGGAGTAAGCCTGAGCAAAGGACGGGATCATCGGGGTGCACTGAAGAGATGGAGGAGGATCGTCCCAGAGGCGGACTGCCCCGAGGGCACACTCTGTCATGTCAAACAGGTATGTGATCCTACAGATACGTGATCATACATGCTTTTATTTAAACCTGTAAAATAATTACAATATACCGTTGTCGTATATAAAACTCCTTTACACAACTCTCCTTTTTTTATTGTTCCTCTCCAGTACGAGTCTCGCTGCACAGTGAACAGCTCCTCCCTCATCACGTGTCCGACTCCGGCGGTGGGTTCGGAGGCCAGGAGGGCCAGGGTCAAAGTTCACTTTCTGTTGGACAGCCTCCACTTTGACTTCAGTGCTGCGGGGAACGAAGCCTTCAGCTATGAGCCCAACCCGCAGCTCTACCCTCTGAACCAGAATGACCCGAACAAACCGTACCACCACAAACCTGGCAGCATCATCTCTGTCGAGGTGCGTGCCAGTAACCTTCCCCTCCCGTCTTCTGTCTGTCTCCGAGCCTCAGAACAGCTGCAGTACTGACATTTCCCACATTCATAGTAAATACTACAGTTTAACTCATGTTGTATCTTTCTCTTCTAGGGAGAGAACCTGGATCTAGCCATCTACAAGCATGAAGTGGAGGCTCGGATAGGGGAGGGGGTGTGTTCGGTGAAGACCCTGACCCACAACCACTTGTACTGTGAACCGCCGGCCCAGCAGCCCTCAGTCATAGCCGGCAACAAACAGGATGGCATGGACAGTCTGCCTGAGTTCACAGTGAGTAAATGTGACTGAGAACTTGCAATTCAAATGCATGAAATACTCCACTGATTAGATGGAATCAGTATAGAGGAACATCAGTCCGTGACTGCATACTAAACTGTTTAACTCACACTGGTTAAACTTGATCTTGATGGCTGCACCAATAGTTTTTTTTCCTTTATGGTGTAAAATGTCTGTCATTGTGCTTTCCAGGTGAAAATGGGGAATCTGAACTTCACTCTGGGCAGAGTGCAGTATGACAGCCAGGCCCAGTCTACATTTCCTCTGGAGGCTCAGGTGGGAGTCGGGGTGGGAGCCTCCATAGTGGCTCTCATTGTGCTCATCATAGTCCTCATATACAGGTAAACAGCACTTCATTTCAACGGATTTACCTCATTGTCCATAACAGGCTACAATGTGCAGTACCTCACTGATTCCCAACCTTTTTCTATCATTGAATAAACTGGGTTAGCAGTATTGGAACAACCCTGCTGACTGGAATATGATTTTCAGTCATACCTGCCATTTTTTCGATACCTATCATCTTCTTCTTCTTCTTCTATTAACATGGTGCTGCTTTATTTCTTTACCTGAATGTTGTCTTGCCGTCATTGTTGTTTGTCAGGAGGAAAAGCAAACAGGCCATGAGGGACTACAAGAAGGTGCAGATCCAGCTGGAGAACCTGGAGACCAGTGTGAGAGATCGCTGTAAGAAGGAGTTCACAGGTATAATCCAAACCTTCTCCTAGTAACTTTTAGAAAATAACACCAGCTTAGTGTCCCAACATAAGGAAGATGCACAAACTGATGCCTTCATTCCCTTCCACCTTCCTCCAGACCTGATGACAGAGATGATGGACATGTCCAGTGATCTGGTGGGTTCAGGGATTCCCTTCCTGGATTACCGGGCGTACGCCGAGCGCATCTTCTTCCCGGGCCATCAGGAGTCGCCACTGAGACGAGACCTGGATGTTCCAGAGAGTCGGAGGCAGACGGTGGAGCAAGGGCTGGTTCAGCTGTCCAATCTGCTCAACAGTAAACTCTTTCTCACCAAGGTCAGGGTTGTTGTTGTTGTTGTTGTTATTTTTGTTGTTGGAGCAATTTATTTAATAAAGAGTTTGTTTTTAGGAATGCAGATTATATGTGGATGCACAAGAGCCATTCACAACCACATTACACCCTGGGAGCAGTTTGTTATTGGGAAAGATCTCCATTTTGTTGTGTAGAAACTATAATAACATTATACTTTTCCTAATAACTCACTGTTGTCTCTCCAGTTTATTCACACTTTGGAGGTCCAGCGGACGTTCTCCCCAAGGGACCGTGCTTATGTGGCCTCTCTGCTGACTGTAGCCCTGCATGGTAAACTGGAGTACTTCACAGACATCCTGAAGACACTGCTTAACGATCTTGTGGAACAGTATGTGGCCAAGAACCCCAAACTGATGCTGAGGAGGTAAGAATGATCTCATTTGGACAGTTTATGTCCAGCACTGGCTCTCTGGTATTCTCCAAATCCATAAATAGTTTGCTTACATGTGTGCTTTTCCATTTCCAGAACGGAGTCGGTGGTTGAGAAGCTTTTGACAAACTGGATGTCCATCTGTCTGTTTACCTTTCTGAGGGTATGTATGCTAGTGTTTTACATTTGGTCAGAGATCAGTGAATGGAAATGAAATCTGTATTAAAGCTGCACTAGGTAACTTTTATAAAAATAACTTTTTGTCATTGTTGCTGTGTTCTGACAGAAGTTCATGAGACAGATAATCTGTGAAAAAAAATCAGGTCCTCCTATCAGAGCCAAGAGAGATATAAAGGTCTGTGGGTTGGCAGTTAATTGTTGAGTCTCATTCTCAGGGTCCTTAAGCGTCTGTCTTTGACACCCTGGTTGTTTTCGTTCTGGTCTAATTGCTGGTTGTAAAATGCATCACTACCAGTGCACCAGCGCATGAATTTCTCCACAGACACCAGATTAATAACCTCTGGTATACTGTGACATACAGAGAGATTTACCTGCCGGTGATTGGCTCAATCAACACTGTGTGAACTTGTTTGAAAAGGGCACGAATGTAATGGATGTTCGTTTATATGTAAAAGCCCGGCACTCAGGGCGACCTTGTTGCTCACCTGACAGAGCATGTGCCCCAGGTACAAAGGCTGAGGCCTTCCTGCAGCGGCCCAGGTTCGATTCTAACCTCTCTCTCTTCCCCCTTTCCTTACACTCACACACTTCAGTGGTCACTATCCATTAAAGGTCCCTTTCTCCAGCTTTAAAACCCTATTGACCTCACAAGGTCTTCATCAGGACTAAAATAGTAACAGAGTGATTACACTTACTACTAAATACTCTATATAGAATACGAATAAACATTGCATGATGATATGTCATAATTTAATGACCAACAATGGTCAAAGTAAAGTAGCACATGTTACTGTAGTTCAGTGCTTCCCGTTTTTGGCTTTTGACCCCTATAATGAAGCTGTTTATGACCCCTCATCACAGATTATGGTTTTGGAATGTTTTTTTATTTGAATGATTTAGGAGCCCCATGGAAGTATTATCATAATAATAAAAAATCCAGAGAAGAGAAAATACACACACAAAAAACAAACTAAAGTTTGTGTAATGAATATATATTAGATTTTTTTACTGCTTCTCTAAATATTATATAGATCTTGAATCCCTTTGTGACTCTCCAGTTTGAGAACCACGGCTATAGTTATAGCTGTCATATCAAATAATATAACTTTGCTGCTGTCATTTTTCCAGGAGAATCCATAAAATGAATATTTCATTGTACACAGCAGACACAAGTTAGAAACAATTAAAACGTATCACAAATGGAAACTCTCCTTTGAACCAGTTAATCAGTACAGAGTGGCCAATCCTGCATCACTCGGTCAGGGGACACTGACTGAATGAGTGTGTGTTGTGTAAGGACATTGTTGACCTTCCGTCTTTCATGCTTGGCCAGGAGTCAGCAGGGGAGTCGTTCTACATGCTGTTCAGAGCAATAAAGCACCAGGTGGACAAGGGACCTGTGGACGCCGTGACAGGAAAAGCCAAGTACACGCTGAATGACAACCGGCTGCTGCGAGAGGACGTGGAGTACCGCACGCTGGTTAGAACACACATAGATACATATACAGTATATTAACACAGGCAGGGTTCATATATTAACAAAGTGTCTGTGTGTTACTAAAACATTTGACTTTTTTCTTGGTTTTCATCCTCCTCCTCCTCCTCCTCCTCCTCATTTTTGGTGGCATTAAGTTTGTGTATTTAGCCCTTTTTTTCTGAATTCAATTTTCAATTACTAATTTAGACGCGTTGTACTTAAACACTTCCCCACAAACTGAAACTCTGCACAGTGGTATCACAATATTTCAGGCAATAATCAGCCCTGCTGTTCATCTGTCCAGACCCTAAACGTTGTGATGCCAGCTGCAGCCGCCAGCGGAGGCACTACTACCCAGACGGTCCCTGCCAAAGTCCTGGACTGTGACACCATCACCCAAGTGAAGGAGAAACTTGTGGAACAAACCTGGAAGGGGACCTCCTTTTCCCAGAGGCCACACATAGACTCATTACACCTCGGTAAGTCTGCTTCAGAACTGCAGGAAATTTGAGTTTTCAAACACAAACAGTTAAATCTTAAATCAAAGAATTGCCAGCTCCATGTGCACCTGGATTTCCAAAAGAGTATACATTGTCTAATTTCCTCTGAGATTTGGACATATATAACCTTTTTAACACATAGTTCTCAGTAAATTACTGAGATAACCTTTTAGGCACTGCTAGTGATTGTCACTATTCACACATGCAGCTTCATTCAGGAACATTTCAGTCGTTTCACACATGGCAATGCTGGAATAGATGGGGACAGTCCAGCAGATGGCGGTAATGCAACACTTATGGATGCCGCCATAAAACTCAAATGAAGAAGAAGACGGTTTGAAGGCCAGTTGTACAGCTGCCTATCAGTTTCACCCTCCGCACTGACTGAGATGAGCTCCCTTATTTCTGAATCAGTCCAGTTACCAAACCTTCTTAAAGAACAGAGCTTGAACCCTTTTGACTGGTTCGCTCGCTCCACATGGAAGCACCTTTTTGACGTAATCCTTTACATGCTGGCAATGTTACTACTTTCATTCACAACACAGCCACACAGGCTTCTTCCCTGAAATGTTAGGTCTTGTACAGATTTCCTGACTACAGAACTCTCTCTGAAGGGATAGACTGCATGTGTGAAAGGGGTTCATGTCTGTAGTGTCACTGAAACTCATATTTAAATCTGCAATGTTCAGCAGTAGCATGAGGTTACGGTTATGTTTTTTTTCCTTCCAGAGTGGCGTGCAGGTGTTGCAGGTCACCTAATCCTATCAGATGAGGACCTGACGTCAGTAGTGCAAGGCTCATGGAAGCGCCTCAATACACTGCAACACTACAAGGTCTCACAATCAATCTTGCATGTGCAGAATAAAGCCTTTAGACTCATAAAATTCATCTAATTGTTTGAGGCAGTATGTTCCCAATGTGTGAACGTTTCGATACAAACTGTGATGCAGGTCCCCGATGGAGCAACAGTGGCCCTCGTCCCCAGGAACACCAAACATCACCTCCATGACAGCCATGATTACATGCCTGGAGAAAGTGAGTCTCGCTTCTTGCAATTTTCTGTGGATTGTACACACTAGAGACATTAGATACTACTACTAGATACTAGATATGAACCGATACAATAAGGAAGTTCTACACAGCAAAAACAGCCCTTCTAGAAACAAGCCAGATATTCTTAAATAATATCATATTTTCTTAAATTGAGCAAGATAATCTACTAGTGGGGTAAAACAGTTTTGCTTGGCTAGAATTCTTAAAACTAGCAGAAAAATCTAGCCACTGAAAGACTGTAATGTGCCTGAAAACTAGAAAAATGCCAAGACTGTAGCCAACTTGTGCTTATTACAAGCAATTAACTCAGTTATTTAAGGTAAAGTATTTTGGTCACTTTATTGAGCTAAATAAAAATAATAAATCTAGATTAATAGTTAGCCAAAAATCTTCAGTTCAAGATGAAGCTTGATTTATGTTGCACAGGTGTTATTTTTACCTCATAATCTGATATTGAAGCTTGCAACAAGACAGGAGTATGAGGAGCTGAACTTATGGGCTGTCTTTAAAGTGCATGCAAAGTAATCAATAAAGCTTTTTATTTAGTTTTTATTTTGTTTTCCATTTGTTAATTTTTTAGACTTCAGACAAACTTAAGATTCATCTCGGCCTCCTCCCATTACATACACAACCTCCAGTTTACACAATATTGCCCGATGCAATTCCGATTTTATTTTCTCTGTTAACATCTCACCAAAATATTAAATTATGTAGTGTATATTGTGAGCAACTACGTGTAATATATACTGAGAAAAAGGGAGGTAAAAACACAGAAAATCAATCAGTCTAGACATTTTTAAACAACCTCCCCTGAACACACACTCACACCCACATATCTTTTATGTGTACATAAGCAGGATCAGTGCAGATATTAATGCAGCCACATATTAGCTGAAAACAGTCTAAATGACCAGAGGAGGTCGCTGTTTGACTGTGTATGCATGTTTTATGTTGCACTGGGAAGCTGAGAGTGAGCAATAAAAGTAGTTGTGAAACAACAGAGAAATGGACAATACCCAGCCAAAATAAATTTACTCATTCTACTGCTGTCTCCTCCTACCAGAGACCCCTATGCTTGACGACGGGGAAGAGGGAGGAGTGAGGCTTTGGCACCTCGTCAAAGCCAGCGAGGAGTCCGAGCTGCCCAAGCACAGGAGAGGCAGTCTGAGGGAGAGGGGCGGCGAGAGGGCCAAGGCTATCCCTGAGATCTATCTCACACGGCTGCTTTCCATGAAGGTAAGACTCAGGGGTCTCAAACTCAGATTGATGTTGGTATTGTCATCTCATAGCAGGACCTCTTTAACGTTCAAGTAGAAAGCACAATATTCTGAAAATATTTCTATTAATAACATCTTACTAATACATCATAAAAACACCCACTTACATTTTTATATCATCATTTTATATCTTTTTTGGTTTTGCAAGCCCTAAAACCTGCTCTCTTCTTATCAACCCTTTGACCCTTGCCATTATTTGTTGGCAAACAAAATACAATAGTTATATAAAGCGGTAGTTAGAATAAAAAAAAAAAAATGAAATAATAATAATTATAATCTTATGGGTCAGATTATATTATATTTTAGACCTCATAGGATGGAGGGCCGGAATGGCCCGGGACCGGCAGTTTGAGATCCCGGTCCTGAATGGTATCCTTCGAGGTGGTGCTCACACATATTTGAAAATGTTTTGCATAATGACATTTACCACATGGCCACATTCTTTTTATGAAATACTATATAAATACAGTTTCTTCTTCTTATTATTAAATTATCAGTCTGTCAGTCAACATTATTAAACATGGGATACGTCAGATTGTGACAAAGGAAGCGAACGTGACCAAACATTAACAGAAGACTTTAAGATCGCTTTGGCCCTGAACAGTTTCTGCCTGAGTCATGTCAGATAGATTTTCATCAGCAATGGTGGTTGTTAAACAATGAAGACAACAACTCCCATGATCCCACGCTACTTCACAAAGTCATCAAACTAGTCTTTTGTTATTGTTCTGATGTGAGAGACCTCCTAGCGGCAGAGATTACTAAATGTATGCACTTTATGCACTGTGTAAAACTTGCAAGATGCTATTGCACCATAAAGAGCAACAGCTGTCCTCTTCTCTTATAGCGAGTAAAACCCTCTGGTTCACTGGGTTCAAACTCAGGAGCCTTTATGAGCATGGCTTTTTTGAGCTAACTTATCTTGAGGTAATATTTTCACAAAGAAGCCATTATCAGTCTTGATCCAGAGTTTTTATTTACAACATATGAAATATTTATTTTTAATACATCTATTGACCTAACACATTGCATCGGGGTCTTTTCTGTTCTGACCACAATAAATTAATTGATTATTTGCATGGTATAAAAGTCGCAGTGGACAATGTACAGTGTATTGGATAACAAACTCTTGACCAGTTTCAGAATGGTTAAAGAGGTACTTCAGCAATTTATTATTGCAAGAGGTAAAAATCTGTGGATATGGGTCAAGCTCCAAAAAAACACAGCTTCCTACATTTCCCATAATGCAACATGATAGTGTCTTTCATTAGACCTTGCCTAATAGACATATTTCAAATCCAACACCACCAGTTTTTAATGCAGACTGTTATAAAGTTTTAACCTTCAAGCCCACGCTGAGATAACCATGACATCACTGATGACATCATCCGGGTTATTTTCTCAGACGTGACAAAGCAACAAAATATATTATACGACTGTTGAGGCACAGGAAAAATCAGTAGAGTGGCCCTTTATTTTGTGGTTTATTTGAATTTAAATGAGAATATTGTAAATCAACAGATAACCCAATGTGTGTGTATGTGTATACGTCGTTTATTTATCGGTTCCGCTGTCTCGGCTCTGTCTCAGGGAACACTGCAGAAGTTTGTGGATGATTTATTCACCGCGATCCTCAGCACCAGTCGTCCTGTACCTCTGGCTGTCAAATACTTTTTCGATCTGTTGGATGAGCAGGCCCTGCAGCACAACATCACAGACCCTGAGACCATCCACATCTGGAAGACCAACAGGTAATTGGCTGGCAGCAGCAGGAGCTCACAAAGGGAGACAGGGTTGGAAGCCAGAAATGGGTCGCAGGCCAACTTCTGGTGGACCGCCATATGAGAGGAGTTATAAACACGCTTCAGGGGGAATTTAATGTCAGCAAAGCCTGCCCACACAGAACATATGGACAACACTTGATCGCATGGTTTTACTATGACCTAATGTTAAGATACATTTAAAATGCCAGAATACTGTATCAAAAATATCCCTGAAGTGGTTCCTGGAAATATCACCAGAGCTCATGAAGCCGTTATCAAAGGGTTACTTAGGCCCCTTTGGGCAGGATAGAGGAGGAACATACCAAATGATACATTTTGTTCCCTTTTTAGTTCTGGTCAAGTGTAAACCTACTGAACTACTGCAGGTTGAGCTGCTCTCATTGGCTGCGCAGTTTCGACTCGGCCATAGCAGCAACAATGGTGGCTCACCTGATCACACACGTTCTTGTATTACAGCTAAACAGTACACTATGTTTCTGAAACCATTTGAACTGAGAAGTCAGTAGCACATTGGACGAATCTTGCTATATAGTATAGTTTTGTACGCTGCACTGGACGGAAGAATGACTTGTCAATCATAAGGTATCCACGCCCAAAAGCATACCCTGCTTTATCGTCTATTTTTAATGGGTACAAAATTTCATTTTCTGTTGATTCCGGTGGCCCCTGTGGACAAAAGGGATGTTTCTAACATCTTGTTACATTGATTTCAAGAGGGAATCTGACCAAATCCAACATGTTGGCAGGTATGGTCTTGTTTGTTAATCTCGGTCATATTGAGGCAATTTTACGGTATTAAATTGGAACTGTTTTATAATAGTTATAAACTCCTTGTAGTACGTTTAACTAAATATTCAGATATCAAATATCCAAAGTTTGTTGGGATCAAACCAAGCATATTCGGTATGAAAGCACCATTTAAGAACCTTCTGGTATTCGGCAGTGGTTGTAATCAGAATGAAAGGTTCATTGAAACATGTCCTTTCCTCTTACATATAAATGTGCTGTGTCTTGATATACATTACAATCAGCGGATCGTTATTGACATGTGCATGGGCATTTCCCTTCTTGCCAAACAGTTTACCCCTGCGGTTCTGGATCAATATCCTCAAGAACCCACAGTTCATCTTTGACGTGCAGACCTCAGACCACGTGGATGCTGTGCTGTCCGTCATTGCCCAGACCTTTATGGATTCCTGCACCATCGCTGACCACAAACTGGGACGGGTGAGCGAATCACTTTATGGCACTGCCAGTATTATAGAACAGTATTACATTACTGCATTATACAGTAATACAATTACATGACTATATACACTACACATTCACATCACATATCTATCTAATTTGTATACAGTGCTAGTATCTAGCACTGTATACAAATTGAAGTTTTGTAAAATGTGTGAAACCCAATAATAGAAATCATGTACTTGGCGGCTGTAATGAGCCCTCAAGCTGTGTTTTGTACCCGATGCATCGTTTAGTCTACAGTGCTTTGTGTTACCTGTCTTGTGCGAGATTCAGGACGCGTTTCTCCATCTGTCTTCCTTGCACAGGACTCTCCCATCAACAAGTTGCTCTACGCCAGAGACATCCCGCGCTACAAACAGATGGTGGAGAGGTAAGAATATGGCAGCCAGTTGCCCCACTGACCCCCAGGCATAAAAAGACACTGGAGAGGGGGGAGGGGGGGAGGGAGGGAAGGAGGGATAGAGCGAGGCCTAGGACAATCTGTCAGTGGCAGACAGAGGGTAGACTAAGCCTGCGAGGCTTCCATGCATGGATGGTCTGAGAGCAGACTGCTACACTTACTGCTGCCTGCTGCACATTAAACCCTACAGATTACACTGGTGATGTATTAAAACTATGCTATTCAAGTTGTTTATGTAATAAATATGGCTGTTTTATAAGCCTTATTAGCATGCTATAGAGTGATCCTGTATTACCATATGGAATTAAACAGACACAAACAGTGCACACCTTTTAGGAATGGCGGACATGATAATTGATGAAATGAACTGAGTAACTTCAAAACAACTAATAATTTAGTTTTTGCTGACCTCCAGTGGTTTAACTTCTCACCTTACTGCAGTGTTAGTGTGGTCAGTACACAGCAGTTGGTGCAGCAGTTTTAAAACTCTAAACCAGAGGAGTTTTTCAGATTGGTATGACTAGCCTAAAGTTAGTCCAGTCTTAGACTCTGGTAGCCTCCTAATCTTACGTCTGCTCTAATCGTTCATAGTGATGAACCCATAGAGAACAATGAGTTTTAGCATATTTCAGCTCATTGTTTTGGTGTTACAGCCATTGGTTCAGACTCACAGCTCTCATCTTAGTTGTATCCAGCAGCAGACTCCAAATGGCGGCTAATGTTCCTCCATGGGTACTAACATGTTGGCCTTGCCAACTTATACAATGTCGATATTTGTGGCAAACCACAGTGGCAAAAAAAAAAAAGATTCCTGCAGACGCCATTAGGAGCACTAGGAGGAGCCAGAGGAACCTATTTTTTTCACAGATTATCTGTCTCATGTACTCAGTTTCAGCAGTAATGACAAAAAAATATATTTTTCATAAGAATTACACTGCAGCTTTAAGGTAAAAGCATTATAAGTATAAATTTAATACGTGCCATTGAAAAAATGTGTATATGTATGTTTTTATACTGTATATTGTATTGGAGGCATTTAATTTTCATTTAATATAACACTGCATTTTTATTGGGCAAACTATGGATTCCAAACCTGCTTAACTTTTAGCCCCAGTCTTTACACTCGCTGGGTATAAACTGATGCAGCGATGTTTGTCTGTGTGACTGACCCGAGTTTGGCTCCTCATGAACACATGCTCTGCTCTAAGATAACCAGCTCTGCTTATTATACAAATTTCCCATTTTTAGTTATGACCGTGTCACATGAGTTTGTCTGTACATACGGTACACGCTCTCTATGCATTCTGCTGTCTGGGTTGTATAGAAGCTGCTGAAAAATTCTGGCATGAAGGGGTTCAAGAACGTGGAAGCATCAAATTATCTTCGATTCCTTTGCAGTCCATGCAGTTCTTTCTTGCTTTTCTATACATAGCTCTACACTTCTCTCTCTCCAGGTACTATGCAGACATCCGTCAGACCATCTCTGCCAGTGACCAGGAGATGAACTCTGCTCTGGCAGAACTCTCTCGCGTATGTTACCCACTCTTGTTTCCCCAATTTGCAAAAATAACTTTTTTGGGCAAAGGCTGAACACATAAATCATTTTAGGACCATCTGGGTGGATGGCTAACAAGCTAGATGTGGAGTTTGTAATAAAATATGCATGGCAACCAATGCAGCTTTTAACAGCCTCCACCCCCTGACGTTTCTTCACCACCTCTCTATTTTTACTCTCCCAAAACAGAATTATACTGCTGAGGTCAACTGCCTTGTGGCTTTACATGAGCTGTACAAGTACATCAACAAATACTATGATCAAGTGAGTACAATGATTTTTGGGTTGTACAGTATGTTGTGCTGTGGTTCAGATGCATCTCGACTACATGTCATTACACATTACACAAAATACACAACCTCATATGGTAAATATTCATTTGTGAAACATGCACAGCCATGGCACATTTTAAAATACGTTTGGTAAAAGACGTCTAAATATGTGCTTGATGGGTAAACGAATGATATCATGCTAAGAGACTGAGACTAATGTCCCGAGCAAAAAGTCAGCAATGAAGGAGGCTGCTTAGCCAACCAGTCCATGTTCATTTTTAAAGATACAAGAAAAAAGGATGATGACTAACCGATATTATTGAATATGAATGTAATATTATTTCGCTATAACATTAGCTCGACTCCCCAAATCCAATAAAGAGCAGGACACAACAGCTAATACACTAAACTAAACTCTGATAGTATCCAGGACCAGCTTTCAGAGAAATGGAGAAATACTGCAGAGAGGATGTACCAGCCATGAACAGGGCTTTTTTTATGTCACCTGTTACACCACAAACTAATGTAATGCTTCTTGGCCTTTAAGTTAGTCAGATAGTAAGCTAGACAGGCATGCTATCTAATGCAGCTTATGTTGGGGTGGACAAATACCCTCTTTGACGCATTCTGTACAGTTTTTGATCGGGCAGATCTGCCATGCCTAGTTACAGTTGCTGTTTGGGGGACGGGTTCTGCAAATGGTCAATTATAGATGTTCCCCAATTTCTTAACCTGACTGGTTTGTTACACAGAACCATCTGGGTAGTTGTCATTGGAAACTTTTTAGAAAAGGGCAGGTACTTTCAATAAAATACTTGGCAAGTGATTGGATGAACCATCTGTCAATCACCATGTATCACTTCTTGCTCTCCGGAAATAATCTCTGATTCTGATGCAAGTGATGCTAGCAGCATCTACGCATTCTTCTCACACACACGCATTAAACCACAGCTGTAGCTCATGCTGTAGCTGCCAGTAGTTCCTCAGAGGATGCTGATTTGTCTGTAACCACCGTGGTTGGACACAAGCACATAGCTTGAAGCCTCCAGGACGGATTCCCGTGTGATCTCGTGATTTTGTGGTCTTGTGAGTCCAGCTGTGAAGCAAGGTTACCAAATTCCCTCAACCTTTCACTTCCGCTTATATAAGGATCAACCCATTGTAGAAATGATTAACATTCAATGCAAAGCTAAACAAATTGTAATGATTTTAATCAAATTTTTTCCATCTTCTGTCAGATTATCACAGCCCTGGAAGAGGACTCCACAGCCCAGAAGATGCAGCTTGGTTACAGGCTCCAACAGATTGCTGCTGCCGTAGAAAACAAAGTCACAGATCTATGACCCCGAGGACACGATAGATCTTTCCTTGAACCTTAAAGCAGAGGACAATGACAGAAGGTTCCATCTCCTTTTTAAGACAAGGGAGGACAAAGGAACGTAGTGGCACTGTGATTTTGCTGTCATTTTGACAGACTCATTTTTAGTGACGGGAGAAATTATCTTAAGAGGATCACTGACAGTGGCCATGTTTCCTGTCCCATATAAGACTCCCTTGATATTTCCACAGATTCTTACACTGGGAGTAAAATGGCACTGCTCTAAGGGGGAAAAAAGAGAAAATGTGAAACACAGCACATCAAAACAAATTCCCTCTGAACGATGAGATCTCTCGTAAGGATTTCCCATGTTGAATTCGCACTAAAGGGAGAATATGAGAAGAGATCTTTTTGTTTTTCCTACGTGTCTTGGTGGAAGATTTTCTTGGCAAAGTGCACATTCCTATTACAGCTATACTTACTAGTCTTGTGCTGAGGCATGGATGCTGTAGGTGTGCTGGATGAAGAAACCGTAAAGGAGGAGAAAAAGGGAAAAGGAGGATGTCAACGGCTACGGTTTTCTACCACGTTGTGTCAAAGTCTTACCTAAAGGACGAACAGATAATGACACTGTCAAAGTGCTGTGGAGGCCTGAGCAACCGCTCACTGTGTTCGAAGGATGTTTTCATTCTGCTTTTAGCTTCCTTAAATCATTCGACCAAGTCTTACTCTATGATGTTTAACTGGCTGTTACTGGACAGTTTGTTTTTCTGTGTAAACAATTTCCCAGGATAGGCTTTCTTTTTTTATTTTTTAATTGTCACATCGCCACTCGTCCCTTTACTGCAATTTGTAGATGATGCCTCATGTAGTTTGAACTTAAAACCAGTGTTTTGTAAAAGTGATGATTTTTGCGGACGTAGTGCGTGAATACTCTCAACCTACTTACTGCTATTGTGAATGTTCCTTTTCTTAAGTAATGTTTCGCAGATGTTGATATCTAGTTTGTAAAAAAATGTTTTTCTATGTATTACCCAAGACAATTGACCCTGGGTAAGTCCCGCGGCTTTTTTGTTCTGTGCTTCAATAACAATTGAGCCAAATTTTGAAGAGGGTTGAAAAATAAAAGCCATATATAATATATACAGTTAAATCTTAAGTTAGCTAGCTAATTTTACTGGAATGCTAGTTAACTAGGTAGCTAATTTATGTCAATCATTAGTTAGCTAGTTAGCTAGCCAACATTTTTCTAACATTTAAATAACAATTTAGCTGTTAACATTCTAACAGCTATATTAAGGTGTAAGTATATAAGTGTCGCTTTAATCTTCTAAGATAGGCTAGCTTAGCTTGTTTTTGGAGCACAGAGCAAAAAGGGGCGGGGCTTAAGAAGGGGTCAATTTGGCAGAGCTAATTCATTAACTGATCCGTCCTCAAAAAAAGCCATGAAAGTAAAATCTTCTACTTAACTTTAACTATAGACAAAATCTGTAATAGCACTGCTGTAATCTGTACTAATTCAGTGAAAAATTATGATCCTAGCACGACTTATTAGGAAATAAATACAAATACATGAATAAGGTGACTGAGGTGACTGTGAAATATTGTAGAATACAGTTGCTACATATTTATACAGTTATTTCTCATATATGTGCATTTTATAGATTTATTTAAATTGCGTTGTCCAGTTTATTTTCAATGTAAGTCAGGTTTGATCATCCATATGACATGTTCTGGCTATTTTCTGTTTTTGGATTTAAACATTTTTCACATAGCCAGTACTCAAGTGAATTGTTAAGTTTTCCTTGAGGTTTGTTGACTAGACCGAAGTCGCACCCGTAAATTTAGTCTGTAACTGTATGACCCTTTAACGACGGGCTTTTCCAGGCTGAAGGAAATCGAGGAAACTGCACTGGTTGGTTGTTAGTGCAGGATTGTTATTTTTTTTTACACAAACATTTCACGCTGACAGAACAACTTTGATTTTAAGCTTTAATTTGCATTTATGTTGTTGGTGTCAGAGCGGATGCCAGATTTGAACAGTGTTACGGCAGAGCAAAGCTTTTAGAAATTCCTCCTTTCCTCTCAAAATTGAAATCAGAGAGTATGATTAATGAACAAAGGTGCCTGTGTTTCCTGTCGCTTTGTGATGCCACATGTGAAAGTCTTTTTGCTAGTTTTTTCCAATTTAATTTATTTTGTATTTATTTTATTGCTACATGTTGTTGAATATCTTTTTTCTGACATATAAAATAACAGCGGTTATACCCCTTCTTAGTCAGATGTTGCATTCACTATCATGTTTTGGTTTTTTTTCGAAGAAAAGTAAGAGCCTTTTTTTTATCCATTGACTGGCTCTTATTATAGATGTGAGAAAATCAAATTCACAGTCAGCCGTCTGAAATTCTCGATGCTCTCCTTTTATAATTTGCATCCGTTTTAGAGGCAATAGGGAAATATGATTTTTAATGTTGCAAGCGATTATTCTGTACATTAAAAAAAAAACATTATCACCATCCTTTGCCATGCACATTAGTGTTGCGTGTGGCTTACTTGTGTACGCAAAGCTCCGTTCTGATGTTTCACCATTTTTCTTGTAGATACATACTGCTTCTTAAGTGCTTCTGACTTTAGTGTTCTCTAACTAATTGATAGGAAGAACCTAACAACAACTTAATGTGATCCAATAAAGTGCTCCCGGTGTTAATGAATGTCTCAAGTTATTCTGCTGTTACTTTTTAGGGGTGGGTGATATGGCCAAAAAATCATATCACAATCTATTTCATTACAATCACAGTCCATGTTTTGAATTTGCGATTTTTTTTCATAATTCTTAAATGTCCTGTAGACTAAAGCCAGGCTTTAAATAGCCTATGAATTTGTCCATTTGCATCCTTTGCATCGACACATTTTCAGAGTTACATTCAGTAATCCAAAGGGGCATATGTGAGCTGTATTAGTCATGTGCCAACTACTGTATCACACACCAAACTTGAGGGAAATGATGCATCTGTCAGCTCTACACTCACATTTTAAAACAGCACTTGATGGTAGCTGAGTCAACATGTATAATTTATAGTTGGATAGTTGATTTTAACACTTACATATAGGATGTTTCAGAAATGTGTTTTTATTTGTCATCATTCGTTATGGTTGCCTCGAACTATAGAACAAACCTGCCACGGACTTTGTTTCCTTGCATCTTCCCTGATGTTCCTGGTGTACCAGCAGCAGCATTTCTTCCCTGTCCAGTTTAGTTTTCTCTTTTTCCATTTAAGCCATCCCCATTTATAGATGAAAAATAATTTCATTTGTTTTGATTTTTGCTTTATTCAACACACTGTTCATTGAAAATGTTGAGGATAACACAGAAAACTTTGAAAAATAACTTATTGCCATAGTGGTTTGTCATGTGGTGATCATGCCGTAGTCTTGAATGTTACTCCTACATTTTTCACTTCTAAGGGAGCTCTTTAAACCTTGAAACTATTGGACACCTAATTAAACACACCTAAATAGAATACAGCCATTATTAATGTTATTTGTTACAGCTGTTTTTCTGCCTTGAGGAAGGTCTATAAGGTCACAGTTGCATATGTTACAGACTGGTAGTGAAAGTCATGAGAGACTGCTTGTTTAATGTTGCATGACAAAAAAAAAAAAAATACAGCTGACAATTTGACTTGTCATATTAAAAAGTGTAACTAATAACATTAATGAATATTTATGGTTAATTTAGGTGGGTCAGTTAGCCATGACAACGAGCCAGCATGCAATACCAGGACCCTGTAACTGAAATAGAATGCAGCCATTGTCAGTGTTAAAGATATATAAAGAGTTATGCCTACAATGCATGTTAGAAAGATGCTTCAGTCATTAGCAAGTAAGAACTATTTCCAGGCTAAGTCTCTATAAGTGCACTAGCTGTGTCAGCTTGCTCAGTGGTCCAGGACCAACAGGGGACCTTGAGTGGGTTGAAGGGGGTCCCCAGGAAAAGGAGGAGGAATATTTTAACTTTTATCACATTTTTTAGAAGTTGGAACAACAGGGAAAGAAAAAGGTTTGGCTGTTGTTGTCGAATGTAATTTATAGTGATCCCAGTTTGAGTATGAATACTCTGAAATACTCTCAAACTGGGTGTCCGTGGTCTGAGGTTCATCTATTCTGGGGGTCCTAGACAGGAAAGAATTTGGGAACCCCTGATCTAGCACAGTAACTACTTCCTTGGCTGGGAACTCCATATTTGGACATCCTCTCTCAGTAGCCTATAAATGTGGGAGTATGAACACCTGTCACACACAGCTGGCGATGCCCAACCATGCCTGGGCCTCAAGCTGATCCCAAACAATTCATATTCCACCTCATGTTTTGTTCGGGGACAACAGTTTGAAATATCACCAGTGTCAGACGACTATCAGTAAAACAGAGTAATAGCTAAACATTCATATGCCGTCCAGCATGAGGATCAGGTGACCACTGTGTGTTTGTTTTCTCTTGCGGCTGCAGGGTGATGAAATCTCAAATCTGTGAAAGCGAGTCACCCTTGAAAGTGTTTAATGTGTGCGTGTGTGTGTGTGTTCAAGCGCTAAACTGAAGACAAGCAGGATCAGTGAGTGTTTCTTAAATTAGCAACAGCAGAGCAAATGAGTGCAGGTCACGTTTCACTCTATGGCAGACAGGGTCAGATAGGCCAAATTGAAGGTCAGGGAGTGTGTGTGTCCAGATTCCCACGCATCCTGGAAAACCTGGAAATTTAGAGACTAGTTTTCCAATCATGGAAACACCTGGAATTCGATTAAAATTACCAAAAATTCTAGAAATAATTTATGTTGTCATGATTGATTTGAACTGTTATTTCTGGGCATTGGTCGTAGGACATGGTGAGAGGAAAACTGAAGGCCAAAACAGAAAAAAGCACAAAAGCAAAAGTAGGCTACGCAGAGTGTCCCACATTAAACACAGACTACCTACTTGTAATAAACCTGAGACGTCAACAGGAACCTGCATCGTTAAAAAACCAAGTTGATACTAGGCCTACTGGTAAATTATATGTCAATAAGAACTCCTGGAAAATGACCTGGAAAGGTCGTGGAAAAGGTCTTAAAAAGAGTAGGACCCTGTCTGTGCATGTGTTATCATTACATTTTATTTATGTAGAATGAATAGTTTATTAACTGTGTATACGTGGGTGAACTTATCCTTGATGTGATTGGCTGGTCTGTGATGTTGCTTCTCCAGCACTAACAGCGTGGTTTATTTGTGGTTTGAAGAGCTTATAAATACAACAAGAAGAAGATGAACCTGCCAGCTGCCTTCACACCTTTGTATGTGTTCAGTGTTTATGATAAATGTCCGGTTACTTCATCAAATATGAATTTGAAGCTTCAGATGTTAAACTGGAGCAAAAATATGTTATGCTGTAAATGCTGTCTCTTTTACCACCTGATATTTATCCCCTACTAACCCAGTGATCTAGATCCATGCAGGTGCTGTTATGGTGTCCCTCAGCACACACACACACACACACACACACACACACACACACACACACACACACACACACACACACACACACACACACACACACACACACACACACATCCTGCTCCTGTGGGAAGAGTCTTATTACAGCTCTTTGCAAATGGAAAATAGTCACAGCCAGCACAGGCTTTTCAGCTTAAGACTGGACCAACATTAGTCAGTAATAGCAGGACACAGGAGGATTGGAGCACCTGCACACTCTAATGCAATGCTGTACAGCAGCTACTACTACTTTGATGAAGCTTATAGCATTCAGTTCTTTTTGAAACTTTGTATCAGAAACGTTGACCAACCACCACTAACTCCAGTCTCATACATTACCATATGCTGTAGTTGAACTCACAAGTTCTGGATACAGTGCAAACTGTGTTGCAAGGATGTGCTGTTTCAATTGTTCATGTCACTGTGTCCAACCAGGGTGTGCATACACAAGGCTTCCAGCGCACTGCGTGTGCATAATTCACATGATTTTAATAGTTAAAAAATGCTGCTCACTACTCACTGGAACCAGAAAGGGAGACCAGATCACATCTATACTGACCTCCACTGTGGCTCATTTTAAATAGTCACTGATTGTTTTTAAAGGACATTTTTGGAAATGAAGCCTTTTTTTGACTTAGAGTTAGATTAGTTAGATTTCTCATGTCTGTAAAGAAAAAAGAAAATATGAAGCTAAAGCAAGCAGGTAATTAGCTTAGCATAAGCCAGAAAGTAGGGGGAAATAACTAGCTTAGCTCTGTTTAAAGGTACATAAATCCCCCTCTGTCAGAGCAACCCATCTTACAAATTAACACATTTTATCTTGTTTGCCTAACCTGTACAAAACTGGAACGTACAAACAAAATGTTTGGTTGGCTACAGCTTAAACAAAGGAGATATAAAATGTTAATTTAGAGGTGCTGAAGACATCCAGCTTTGGATGGAGTCAGGCTTTAACCAAAGCGAGGCTAACATTGTCAGACTCACGATGGACAGTTGCTGAAAAATAAAAGAATAAAAGTAGATACAGCAGATCCACAGATATCATCTTTTCGCACATTCTCTGGCACCTACATTACCCACAACGCCACTTGATGGCCAACAGTATATACTGTACATCAGACTGATTTTGCACTTACTACTTGTACTTGTGTTGTTTATAAAAAACTATTATTGCAACAGCAGAAAAGTTCCTGAAAATCTCTTGGTTTTGGTGAAAAATTCTTATCATGTTGGTCTCATTAGTTTTAACGTACAGTAACAGGCCCTTAGCAAGCACAGCACTTCAGCCACAGTGTGCTCTGTAGTCAGAATAGCTCATAGATAAGGACCTGGAATAACGCGTCATCTGACTATGAACAGTTGTTCACGTGAGGTTGAGAGGCCCTCGATATATGAATCTGAGTGTTCTCGCATTTTAGTCCCATCACACCGCACACATACACACACTGTAACACACACCTCACCTCTCATTTCTCTCCCTTCAACACCATCAGTTCTCTCTCTCTCTCTCTCTCTCTCTCTCTCTCTCTCTCTCTCTCTCTCTCTCTCTCTCTCTCTCTCTCTGCTTTATAACCCAGAGTGTTAACGGCACAGTGTTGGCAACAGAAAGCAGAGAATCAGACTCTGGGATGTGGAAAGCTTTCTGAACATGTGCGCTGGCCACAGACACACACACACACACACACACACACACACACACACACACACACACACACACAACACACACACAGTAGTGATAAAGCTTGAAACCACTAGTGTATGTATATTTAGAAAGGTTTTCACACAGAATGCCACTCATTCAAAAAAAAACTCTTTTGATAGTTTGCCTGTAGAGTTTGTATTTATCTAATGTTCTTTCAGGGTTCTATATACAGTATACAGTGCTAGTACCGTAAAACTTAAATTAAAAGCACATACCAAATAAACACAAGTCCCCTCTACTAGCTTCTTGTGGCTACACGTTTCGACAAAAAAATGCAGGTCTTAATTAGACAACCGATCTGGATTTTATAGAAGATCTTTGGATGTATAAAACCTCTAAAAGCATATCTGGTCGCTTGCTTGAGGCACTTCTAATCTGCTTATATCGCCTACACAAATATAATAAATGTATAACGTATATATTAAACGTATATACTAAATGCTATGCATCTATCTTTCCATGATTCAATCGTTTAGTCAAATGGCCAAAGTATCAAATGATCCAGGGATGCATTTTTATACGTAGTAGTTATAAGTAATACTCATACTGGTACAAATAAACACTTCAATAGTATTTCCCACATTTGTTGAAAGTTTTGTGCAAAAGGAATTAAAGGCCTGTCCCATATATAGGCAGGATGAGTTCAATGCTCGAAGCATATAAAGCCCGGGCTATTAATTGAAGTTTTGTGGTATTTCCAGTGTCAGTGTGGAATAAGAAAAGAATAGGAATGGATGCCCAATTTTGGGAAGAAAAACAACCCTCCTCAGCTGACCTTTGTTCTTATGACTTTATTGTGATACTTTATATCGTGTTGGAGGAAGGGGATCCCATTCTCAAGCCGGGTTTAGCAATCTGTGATCCCTGTGGCCCAAAGGTCAAACTCCCTGTGAGACAGGGGGAGAAAAAAAATATCAGCAGCTGTCACTCTCTCTCCTCCCTCACACGACACTCCTCTCATCTTTTAGTCCCTCTGCTCTCTGTTATGGCTTTCCCACAGAAGTGAACAAAGTGAAATCGAGGAATAGAAATAGAGAGAGAGAGAGAGAGAGAGAGAGAGAGAGAGAGAGAGAGAGAGAGAGAGAGAGAGAGAGAGAGAGTCAAATTCAGGACAGAGGATATAAGTCATGGTGTGGCAGGTAAAGGCCTGACAGGCAGTGAGTTACAGTAGGAGGCTGCTGGGGATTTCCATGTTTAGACCCTGCTGACTACTGCTGCTGGCGTTCCCAGTCTCCTGAGAGAAATACCGGACCCCCCCCGGACAACTCCCTGCCCAGCCACCACCACCACCTCTCAGCTGCTCAACTGTTTTCAAGTGGTGCAGCGTTAAAGGTGCTGCAGTTTCACCTGCATTTGCTACTGTATTTGTCTCTCTCCTCCCTTTGTGCCAAAGATTTGACCTCTGCAGGCTCCAGACATCCACAATTTTTCAAATTCAAGATACCTGCTCTTTGATGCGTCTGCAGGTTGCATCTGCTGAACCGCACTATGCAGAGGAGTCCGCACTCAGCGAATATAGCTGCTCAGCAGCATCATATGTAAGTACCGTATAGGGCTTTCTTTATATCTGTCACACTGTAGAAAAATCTTCTCATTGCACTTGAAACACAGCTTGGGAATTTCACTGCAGACAGATTGTGTTTTAAACCTGAAACACACAAAATGCAGCATACATTGTATTTGCTGTAAACAAGTCTCAGTGTGTTTCACTTTTGGTGGAAACATTTTTTCATGGATGCATTTGCTTTAATGTAAATATAGCTTGGCTCATAACCACAGTAGTGCAGTCTGAAGCAGAGCAATGCGCAAATAGAGCATACCAGCATTATTATAGACATCATGGAGGTGACTTAAATGGTGGTTTAGAGTTTCAGGCAATGTTAAATCTTCACAAGTCTTCATATTACATCCTGCACATTTTTACTGTGTTCATTAAATCTAAAAACAAAGGTGCCATATCTCACATCAAACTCTACTGTTTGTTTCCAGCCACACAGAAATCAAACCTGTGTTCAGAATTTTCAGACATGACGTGACCCAAACTCTTCCCACCGCCACTAACAGTAGATAGCAGATGGGATGCAGAGTTATCAGGTTGCGTGAACACATTGCAAAATGGTTTACAGTTGAGTCAGAAATAGTGCAACTTCCGATGCTACTTGTCCACTCTTAGCCAGGCAGTGGGACAAGTTTCCATGCCTGGACGAGTCCATGGGAAACTCTAAAAGTAGTTCAACTCTCCCGGCTGCCCCCAGCAACTCAACACTGACACACACATGCTTCATGCAGAGGATGCACATGCAGTAATGTAGGGGACATGTCTGTTTGTAGGAGTGAAGCTGGGTCTTCTAATAGTTTCGAAGCCCTCGGATGCCACGAGCAGCTGGATTCGAAGGACAACCAGGACTCTGAGGACCCCAGAGAATACTGTTACGGTACAGCAGAGTCTCTTAACTCACTTCATCATTTGCAGATGTGCTCATTTACTGCTGCCAATGTCACCACACTTTTATCATAGACCTCTCCATCCACTCAGACTAGGTAGTGCTAAGAGGTTACCTTTGCATTCTGGAAATTCTCCTGCACCATTTTTTCCCCTTCCTGGTCAAGTTGTGTACACTACAGCTTCATATAGGGTAGTCAGGCCAGATATGTCAAAACAACACATTTTGAATCTGACTGGTCTGGTTCTGAGAGAATGAAGTTGAAGAAAAATCACACAGAACAAAAAATGCTTTAGATAATGCACGTTTGACTTAAAGGTTATACTAAATTCACTTGCCACTTGCTGTCGCACTAAGCATCTCAGACCAAAACAATGAGACAGAAATAAAATAAAACTGACTGAAAACTGTCTTTATTAGTCTTTCCACAATCTTTCCAACAATCACTAGTATTGGCTTGGTTAAAATAAATATTTAATTCACTGAGTTAGATATGAAAATATTTGTGAAAAGTGTTGCAGTGGCCGCACATAAAGTTATGTTAGTTCCTTGGGAACAAATGTATGTCAAAGTACGTCCACTAAAGTGCTTGTTTTTGTCACTGATTTTTAGTAATATCCTAACACATCCCTATAGAGATAAGACCAAAAAACAGTTATAAAATCAATATAATTAGGTTTTTTTATAGTATAGTCTCAGTTTTTTTTAAGATGCATAGAACAGTGTGATGGTATTATAACCGAGTGTCCTGGGTTTGCTTAACTGTATAAATTTAATAAGGACAGTAGGTCCAAACCATTGACAGTATATATAATGGACAGAGCTTTCGGGTCTGTGAAGTGAGGCCAACGTGGCAGTGTCTTAAACCTGGCCAGCAGGGGGCAGCTCCATTGGCCGCAATACAACACCAATACCATACAGTCTTATGGAGAAACAATCCGACTTGTCACTTCATTTATGAGCTCAGTAAACAGTTTCCTAATGAGTTTATGATCTCAATCTCTAGTTTCAAGTCTTTTTCCATACAGCATGATGTTCATTTAGTAAATTATGGTCCAATTTATATTAACATAGACCATAAAGCATTGACAGGTCATTCTCAGTGAGTCTGTCCAGCGCAGTGCACCAAACTCAGATCAAACTGTCAAACTAGGCAGTGCTGCTCAAATATGAATCAAGATTCTGTTACTACGTTGACTATTTCTCACCTAAAATCTTTTCACAAACATATTTTAGTATACTATTTAGCTGTAATACAAGGGTAACCATGCAAGCCGCCATTGTTTCCTGCTGGACAAGTTGAAACTGCACAGTCAATGAGAGCAGCTCAACTTGCTGTATGACTCCTCTGCTGGCTCCATGACAAACTGTCATGGCTAAACTCCCACTCCCCTCCCAAACCAAAGATTGACCCTTATAGTCACTTTTCCCTTAAAGCAAGTTTTTCAGCCATGACAAAGGCCAAAATGTAGCCTGCAACTGACTAAGTAAGCCTTGTCTCCACTTGTGCTGAAGAGTCAGCTGTCAGTATAAAACGCAATCAATAAAATTGAAAATTGATTTTTCTGACATAAATCATCACAACTATGAGAAGTCATCCAGCATACGGTCATAAATGTTGGCAAAAAGTATGAATTTGAATAGTCCAGTAGTATGCGATATTAGCTGCGGACAGATACACACCCACACACCTACGCTAAACACATGATCCCCTCCAGGCTTACAAATGGTGGACATAATGAACGAATAAAGTGTAAATTTGAGGGGTCACAAGATTACTTTTCCTTAATAAATGTTCTTTCTTGTAAAATATTAGCTTCACCGTTCAGGCCTCTCAAAATATTCAAATCACACAATTTGAGAAGGGAAATTATCACTTTGGTTGAACTGTTTGAACTTCCTAATGACACTGAATAAATGGTTTAATTAGGTCCCATCCTTTAGTCTGAGCTTCCCTTATTAGGCCTCATTTTAACAGCTATATCATTTAACTAGAAAACAGATTTTTAAAGACCCTCATGGTCACACTCAACCTTTGTTCCTCTCTTATCATATATCACTTTATCCTGCAGTATTCTGACCTTGGTCCCTGTTCTTCGTTTCTTCCCTGCCAGCAGCGCAGGTCTCTGTGTGTACCTCTTAAAGCAGATAAGCTGCTGAGTATGTGATACCACAGATCCCTGACACAGTAATAAATCATATACCAGCTCATATCATGTTCAGTTATAATGGAAATAGAGATTCAATTTCAAGATCTCTGACGATGGCCAAGAACTGTATTCCATGTTGGCTGAAAGAGAACTGATACAGGCTTATGCATCATCACTTTTCAGTGTCCCGCTGGCAGATTTGAATGTATTACTCACTACAGGCATGTTATAGCTTAGAGGAAGTTGTAATGCCAGAAATAGCGTTACTGCCACATTGTAGTCCTCTCTCTCTAAGCTCTCTAAACACCAGAGGAAATATGTAAACTGTATGATGATAAGGTTTCACATTTCAGTCATGAACTGTACAAAAAAACATGATACAATCAGTTAAATAGTTGATGATTTTTTTTGGTTTCACTTTATCTCCTTAGGTGGGTACCACCCAGTCCACATAGGTGACACCCTCAACACAAGATACCAGGTGGTTTCTAAGCTTGGCTGGGGCTATTTCTCAACTGTCTGGCTGTGTCTCGACCTCAGGTAGGTTTAAATTAGGGACTGTACAAAAATGATCCGAATGGGAAGGAGGAGCTGAATCTTATATTTCACTTTTTAAAAAACAAATACCCTCACCTTGATTTAGAAAAGTTGGTAAACTAATTTCCTCATTAAAACCACTGAATTTAAATGTCCAGTGTGATAGAATATATACATATATATATATATATATATATATATATATACATTCATAGGTATGTTTTCATTCCCAGGTCGTCAAATACAGACATGAGTGGTGTTCACTTGGTTGCAATCTGCAAATTCACCGCTAGGTGTCAGTAAATACGACACACTGGTTCTTTAAGAAATGGAATCTTATTTATATGATTGCCATAATAGCCACAGACCCACATTTACTGTAAACATAAAAAATATGAATATTCAAGCCACTCATTTTTTGGGGATAAATAATTTGTTTGTTCCATTTCCAGTTTTAACTTGCTCTGTTGGCAGCTACAGTAAATACATGCATACTGTTCCGATTATCTAAGCTGAGAACACATCCAGATTTGTGAAAAGGTTTCGGTTTTTTTGTCACATGTTGTGTAAAACTGGACTGTGTATTAGTCTAACTAACCAGTTCTGGATGGAGAAATATTGGATTTTAAATGGATGCAGCCTTTAAACATATCACATAGGCAAATTTGGCACATTTAACTTCTTTTTTTTAAGTGACAGAGGGATTGACCTTTGGTGAAAATAACATACAATCACTAATATCCATAAAGATCTGTGTGTATTCAGGGACATATTAGTTCTATAAAAAAAGGGAAAAAAAGCACACTACCTTCCCTTCAGCAAAAAACTAAATTAATTTACAACCTTCCCCCCCCCACACACCCAAATTTGTGTACAGTCTTTTTCTTATTCAGTTGTTTGACACAACCTCAGATGTTGAGATTTGTGGTAACAGAAAATATTAAGATAACAAAATACATGTTTGTATGACACTAAAACAAAGCTTTCATGGACTATTCTGTCCTGTATCTAGCAGATCTTATCTGGTGTCTGTGTTTGCAGGCTAGGTCTTCGTGTTGCTGTGAAGGTGCTGAAGAGCGGGCCTGGCTTTGCCCAGGCAGGACAGGATGAACTTGCTCTCCTACGATGCGTTAGTGGCCTATTTGTGTTTTATTTGTGTGTCCCTCTCTTTATTTTTCTCCCTTTCCTGTTTTACTGTTTGCCTTCCTCCCCTTCTTACTCTCACTTTTCTTCCTCTGTTCTACCTTTAATCAGGCTAGTGGTCCTACGAGCCGTCATCCCTCTAGTCGAAGAATTGTCCAGCTGCTAGATGAGTTCAAGCTGGCCGGGGTCAACGGGGTCCGTATCCTTTTTACAGACCGTCATTTCTTGGGCACGCATTTTAAACCTGACACCGAGGGCTGAAGAGTTATCATGTGTGGAGGTGTTTGCTATGTGTGTGTGTCTAAAAGAGCCACTAAAATGCATCAATCAAATGAGACAGTTAATATCAAGTATGGTATATACTGTAGTATCAAATATATAAAGTATATAATAAAAGTAATATATGTCATAAATGTCTCCGCAAACTCTGTCTTCAGAGATGTAAAATAGCATATAGCATTCTGTTGGCTCACTGAAGGCAGTAGTGCTAGTCAATAGCTTGCAGACATGTAGACCTTGATGCCTGATGATTCAGACACGTGCCTGGTGCTGGAGCTGTTGGGGCCCGACCTGAGAAGCTGGCAGCTATGCTTTGGGAATCCAGGACTGACTCAGCCTTCAGTCAAACAAATACTGACTCAGGTAAAGAACCGCTGAGACTCTAGAAATTAAAATCAAATTAAGCAGGAGAGAACCACGGAGAACTAACGTTACATTTCTGAGCACCAGTTGGAAATAATGATACTATAATTTTAAATCAAAAGAAAAAAAAATCAAAGATAATTTTGTTTAGTTCGTTCTGTTGTTAAAATGGCATTAGATTTGGTAAACAGTGCATTAGGACTTGGGACTTTTCAGTCTTGACTTCCAAAACAATGACTTGGTCCAACTTCTGCTCTTTAGTTAAGATTATATCCAGGTTCCATAAGTACATTTGTGAAAAGTTCAGGATTTTAGCAAACACATTTGCTAGCTGTTTCCTCTTTTTCCAGTCTTTATACTAAGCTTAACAAATTGTCTGCTAGTTATAGCTTCATATTTAGCATAGAGACATAAGTGGTTTCAATATTCTTATCTAACTAAAGTGCACAAGCTTTTTTCCCAGTAATTTCAAGCTATTCCCTCAATGGATGAGGTTTTTTTGTAGAATACAGGCAGCTGATACACATGTGGTTAGACTACAGTTTTTTTGTGTTAAACCCAGAAAAAGTTAAGTACTGGTTGTGTGGAAGGAAACGGCATAACTTTCCTGTGATTTCTCTAGGTGCTGCAGGGTCTGGACTACCTTCACACTCAGTGTAAAATCATACACACAGACATCAAGCCTGAGAACATCCTGCTGTGCCTGGAGGAGCAGTCCCACAAAGTACCAACAGGGGGCAGCAGCTCCTCCACTGTGCTAACTCTGAAAGGGGCCAAGTCCACAGGCACAGTTGTTTTTTTTTTTTTTATACATACAGGGTTCATTGTGTGTGTTCATGGCAGATGTACTAGAGCCAACTTGTGTGTTGATATCAGGGTTTTAATAAACGTCTATGCAATAGGCCTTTATTGTAAATGGTAGGATTCAACACATTTGTTGTGCTGATATCTAAACTACAAATGTATGTATTCTAAATGTATATGTGTCAAGCAAATGCATCCTGTCCAAAGTACTAGTAATAGAAAATGCTAACTCTCCAGTATTTGAATTTCTTTCTCAAAAAAGGTGTTTTAATACATGGTTTATTGTTGTTTATTTCAGGGAAGGAGAAGGTGAACCCATACAGTTTAAAGGAAATTACAGTGAAGATTGCTGACATGGGCAGCTCCTGCTGGGTGGTCAGTTATGGTTCTATACTTTACAGCTATTATAAAACTCTAAGTTTGACATATTGCACTCTCCTAGTGTTGAATTTTCAAGAAGGGTCCATCTTTACAAGGCATTTGGTCTTAAAGCCCCTGAAATATAATAAATATAAATATAAACAACAATCAAAGTTAAAGTCAGGGGAAAAAACTGTATTTATTATATGAGAGAATAGAGTTGCTATAATCAATCTTTCACTGTGTTGTTTTTGGTCACAGTTGATGGACAGTAGTGTTTTATCCACTGTGCTCAGCACCAAACAGTAAAAACCCAGATTTATTGCACCACCCTGAGAAAACAGCCACAAAATTAAAATTTTCTGTCTGCCATGTCTGTCTCTTTCTTGGACCAGTACAAACATTTCTGTGAGGAGATCCAGACCCGTCAGTATCGCTCACTAGAGGTTTTACTAGGATCTGAGTACGGCCCGCCTGCTGACATCTGGAGTGTCGCCTGCATGGTGAGAGAAAATCTATACAATATGATGTTTACACTGTGTGAAATATTCAAACCAAGATGAGTCTCATGAATCATTACATACACATTTCTCTTAAAATTCAACCTGATTATCTTATCTTATCTTATGCTGCAGCAATTTGTACCACAATTAAACAAGAGTGTCCACAGCTACATTAGCAGCTCAGTGAAGCTGTTCCAATAAAAAACACCAAAAATCAGGATTTGAATATAATTGTTTAGATGTAGTTTACAACATAATTTATTATTTATAATCACTCACAGAAATGTTATTTCTTTTCAATTTCAACATCACTTTTTGTGATTTTTTTATTACTTACCAGAACAAAATTAATTGTATCTGCAAAAAACATAAATTTTGATTTTGATATTTTGGAGACCTTACATATATCTTTTCCATATAAAATAGGCAAAAACTGGCCTGACACTGAGCCTTGAGGAACCCCCAAGAAATCTACATAATTGTAAAGTCCTAATAAGATGGTTTTTGATCTTTAGCAGTTGTAGAGAAGCAAATGTAAGAATTGGCCAGACGGTATTATTGTGTTGTGAGCGTAAAAGAGTAAAGAGATGTATGTGACTGTATTGCATTCTCTATTCTTGTGAGGGTGGTGTAAGCACGAAGGTCAACATGTTAATTTGGATTCATCCTCTGGAAATGTCCATCTAGTTAATGTGGAAATATTTCACTGGATAAGTCAAAACTTTGACCTACTGGTGGAGCTAGATCCACAAGTCAGTGGGTCATCAAAGTGCTAGGGATTCATCCTCAGGCCACCACTGGTGTCTCTGCCAAATGTCCAATTCATCCAATTGTTGTCTAACACACCAACATTTCCATCCCAAAAAACTGTAGTCTAACCTTTATGATAAAAACAAAAATTGGTGTGGTCAGTGTGGTTGGGATTGGTCCTCTAAAAGACGTTTACTTTGCCACACATCTCACCCTTTAATTTTCTCTTGCACTCTCTCAGGCCTTTGAGTTGGTCACCGGAGACTCCCTGTTCGAACCCAAAGTCGGCGAATCCATTTCCCTGGAGGAAGGTACATTCAGTACAGTGTGCTGACAATGACAGAGGCGCGACAAGCACTGACACAGGATTAAATGAGATTACACTGTGGCTCCATTGTAACTGTTGATACAGTGTATGCTAATGTTTACTCAATATGTGTGTCTCATGCTTGTGTGTGTGTGTTTCTTCTCTTTATCCACCTCAGACCATATAGCCCAGATCATGGAGCTGCTGGGTAAAATCCCACCACCTGTTGCCTTGTCAGGTAAATACTCTGCAGAGTACTTCAGCCGCAGAGGTGAGCCTGCAACTTCATTTTTAGTTGACTTTTTAATTGACTGGAGTGTGTTTGCATGTTGTACACTCGTATGATTTGGCTTTTATTGTAATTCTTCATTCAGGTGACCTGCGTCGTGTCGGTCCACTGAGGCTCTGGAGCCTCTATGATGTTCTAGTGGAGAAATACCACTTCCTATTGGAGGAGGCTTCTGGATTCTCAGACTTCCTTCTTCGCATGTTGGATTATCATCCGGAGAGGAGGGCTACCGCTGCACAGTGCCTCCGCCACCCTTGGCTGACCTCATGATAGCCTCCTCAAGGCCCTGCTCAACCCATCTGCTTGATGTTTTCAGCAGCTCGATATGGCCAATTTCAGAACGTACCAGCCACAAACTCAGTCTGTGAGATGTTAAAAATGCACAGGGTGTCTTTCATTTTTTATACTAGATGAATCAAAAGAGTTATTTAGGAGAACGTTTGTATTTCACTCACTTTGATTCGTGAATTCCTGTGGAATGTGGTTTTGTCCTGATAGATAATAGGATGCCCTCTCTGCTGGAGCCAGTTATGCACTTTAAGCTGCTAAGGTGTTTTTTTTTACATAGATCTTTTCTGCTGTAGCTACTGTAAGTCTTTGGTTGCCTGCCCTTTGAGTCCTATAACTCAGTGGTTCCCAACCTATTTCCTCAAGGGACTGCTTTTCTATCATTTAGAAAACTGATGACCCCTGACTAAGTGAATTATTTTATGGATATTTCATATTATATTCAAAACTACAAAATAAAGCCCAATTAGTGAACTCAGTTACTGCAGGAAGTTTGTGTAAAACAAGTGATTTGGATGAATTTTGAGCAGATTATTTCCTGTTTAGTGAACTCTTTATACAAGTGTCTGTCCGTATTATGTATTTCATCAATATTTACAATCATACAGGCTTAATAGGCTTCTTTTTTGTTTTCTTGTCCCTGATGCTTGGTCATTGTTTTATTAGACAATTTACTCTAGATTTACATTTACATTTCTTCACAGACGTGAGCCTGCTGTGTATATTTTTAAAGTTTTCTTACACCCCTTAAAATCAAGAAGGCCTTGTGACCGCCTATGAACCCCAGGTTGGGGACCACTACTACTAGTAGTAGTAGTAGTAGCACAATTTTTTAAAAAGATGATGACTGTCTCTTGCTACATGGACAGGCCTGACTGGCTAGCCAGTATGAAGTTGTCAATTTGGTGCAAACCTTGCAGCTATTATTCAGTAAGATTGTCTGTTAGTGATTAAAACAGAGGATGATAAAAAATGTATACAGTTCATGAGCTTTCACATTGTATGTCCTTAAAACATGCTTTTCTTTTTGTTTACTTTTTATACAGTGTAATGAACAGCTTAAAAAACAATAAAAGCAGATTAACTGCATTGTTAATGTACAGTAAGTCACATCAAGTATTTATACAGCCCAAAAATCACAAATTTACCTAAAAGGGCAACAATACACAACACCCACTAGACCCTTGATTTTGATGAGGGAAAATCCCCTTAATCATAGATATAAGCTGTTATGATTAGGGATACTTTAGCTCACAATGCTTTTTAAAAAAAATGAAAGTGCCTCTTTCGATTCCGTGCATGTTCAAACTTGTTTACTTGTTTTGTCGTAGAACCTCCTGCTGTTGTAAAAGGAGCTCCTAATCAACATGTTTCTCTGAGCTTGTTTTATGGTAACGAATAGATGGATTTGAATTTCTCATCTGTTTTGTGCTAGTTTAATTGTCATGTTCCAGAGACCCCATAATTATTATTTCTCATGCTTTTCTCATGTTTTTATTTTCTAAATCTGTATTTAAATCCATTCTCCTGCTTCCAAAGGGTGACAATGATGTAATTAACACATGGAAGAGTCTTGCACTTTATTTCAAAAAATATAAAGCTGCACAAATCAGTATTTTTACATTAGATCATATGACTGCATTTAATGTGAAAGTGGTCACAAACACACAGTAAATTAGTAGATGACTCTGGGGTCCCCATCATCTCAGGAGGACTGTTTTTGCTTTTCCAGGCTGCAAACCAAACTCTCATCAGCCTTCTTTCAAGATGGAGTGGGCAGCTGTTTTCAGTGAAAAAGGTTAGATGAACCTGTTGTACACTACCTGCCCAGCAGCAAGCAGCAGGCCGACAAAGTTAGTAACGAGCAGCTGAACATTGTGGAGCATTCTCTTTCCCTTTTTTGGGTCTTTTTATGCCCTATAGAGACAGCTGAATTTAGGCATTAAGGAATGAGCTTTGGTCCATAAAGCATGCGTTCTACCAGGTGAGCTACCAGGGCGTCCCCTTAGTGGAGCATTCTGAGCTTATGAAGACATATGTTTGATTTGTGACAGAAACACAACTCAAAATGATTACTAATGTTGCTCTGTGCCTGCTGGATGTGTCAATAAGCAACAGTTTGCTAACAAGTAATATATATTATGTTAATGTTGTCTTTACAGCAGGTTCTGCTGCCCCCAAGTGGCCAAAAAAATTTATTATTGCAAATGCTTGGTCACACACAAAACAGTGGGAAAAAAGTGCTATGTTATGTAGCTCAGACGTGGACTATTTTACCAATGATAAAAAGGGCATGAACAAAAAAATGAATAAAATATATCAAATATCCTACAACCTAAGAAATAACTTAACTTTTTTGCTATTTAATGTAATCCAACTGAAATCGCTATCTGACACATTTATTTATCAGATGCTACTTTTATTGTGGTTCCTCCTCTAAACACTTCATATTATAGAAGCCTTCTCAGTACCGTCATTTTTTCTTATCAGCCTATTATAACAATCCCACATCATAATTAAGACTATGGGTAAGATCAGCTCCTTTAATACTAATACAATTAATTTCTATTCCACTTCCATACAGCATGCATGTACTGTATGTGACATATTTTGAATCTATAAATGTTTTCAAACATAACTTTGCTACTGTATAATGTATGTTTAATCTCTTCTGAAGCAAAGCCTTTAGAGTGTGAATTTTAGATCCGACAAATAATCATCAGACTAAATTAATGTTAAACCTCATAAAGATCATGGACCACTGTGACCTGTCTTGTACCAATTTTAATCATTACAAAAAAAAAAAAAACACCAACAAACAAAGAATGGTGACTCTATCTTCTTGTTTCCAGTAAGCATCAAATTATAATTTGACTTGTCCTCATTAATTCAGTAATATCATTGAGGTTATGCTGTTCAAAACAAAAGTTTGACAACTATATATACACTATGTACTATGCAGATCATACATTATCTACATATTTAAAATAGTCCAGTTTGTCAACCTATCCAGCTGTAGGCTCGGCACTCCACCTGTGGGTTTTCTTTATAAACGACTGTATATCTGCACTCTGTCCTGATCCGACGACACTTCTTGGGCCAGGAAGTGGGCTTTATTGGCCTGGAAGGAAGGAGAAGAGACATGGTTGACGAGAACAGTAATCAGCCTCTGTGACAGAATCCCCATAGGCAAGATTTTATATATTTGAAATCAATTATATGATCTAAAGTGAATAATGTATACTCACGTGAAGCAGTAGGCACCAAAGTCATGACAGAAGCACTTGTCACAGCCTCTCCGAAAAGAATCTCCTGGTTTGTAAAACTTGTCTTTATGTGAACAGATTCCTGTGGAGGAAATGAGCACCACAGTGACATATTTAAACTTTCCTTTCTTTTCTTTTCCTGTTCCAGATGTGACCCTGCGAGGTGAAAATATACATCTTTTACCTGGAGGTTACATCAAAACTTTGCAGATTCTATAAATGTTTGCCCTTAAGGCAGAGTACAAAAAGCCCTGCTGCAAGAGGTCAGGCTAAATCTAGCGTTCACAGTGAATTATCCTCCTATTCCTGCAGGCTGCGGGAGCTATCCTCATGGGGTATGTCAGTCACCTTGAGGAAGGGATCAATAGGAACACACTGATCTGCTGTGAAGAGCCCCACAGGGCTAAATGCAAGGTCAGGGTATAGAGGACGTGGTTCGCGGTCAGCCGGTTGGGGTTGGTTTAATGGCTAGAGGTACCATAAGTCACAATGCAAGTGTTCAGTTTTGCTCCACAAGCAGAAAGTAGCAAACCCGGGAGTGGGCTCAGGCATACAAAAACATGATTTTGAATAATAATTCTATGTGGAAAGAAGTAGTTCTTACCTTTTATGTGGTATATGGAGGCTTCTGAGCATCCGTTGCTAAACAGAAGGAGGGATAAGCAGACAGCAAACACCAGCGATAGAGAGCATCTGTGAATGTTATTTATTGAGTGTAACATTGTAGAGAAGAGAATTATGAACTACTTCAACCTTTTTTTTAACTAATAACTCTCAACGCTAGTTTTGCTAGTTTAAATCTTAGGTGACCGTCTAGTTAAATCCAGTAAGGTCTTGTGATGGCCCAGTAGACACTGGCTAATATTTATAGTCTCACATCTTTACTGGGCAGGGAGAGAGAAAAAAAGCATCTCCACATGTTTAGTTCCTTGGTTTCTTCGCAGTGTCCAACTTTTGTTTCAGAGCGAGGTGTGTTTGGAGTTTAGCTGTGTACCCATGCGTCCCTAAATATTACCTTTGGCCCTCGTTTGTTCATGAGGCTGCGTGGGTGACCGAGGACGGCGGTCGATTGGTTCATCCATGGCATCTAACCAACTTTACTTTTTCAGGTTGTTTACCATCTACTCTCATTTTATCTTTCTCTTTAATGTAAACATTTCCCCTTCCCCCTCTTTCTCTCAACCCCCGCCACCTCTCGACACACACAGATGCTGACTATTAAATCTAAACCTATTTTTATGACTGCTGACATTGCAAAACAACATCTCTTTGTGCTGACGTTGTCCCTTGTGTGAAGGGAATTGGTTCAAGCCAAATTATTACAAAACTGCATTCTGAAACATCAAAAATGCATGACAAATATTGCAAACTCTATCTAAGGAACTGACAGGAGTGTCATGGTTTGCACGGGACATTCTGTGCTTTTAACTGTTTACATATGCTGCAGTACATATAGCATGAAGTAAAGACCACAAAATTGCCAAGAAAGTATTTCAGATATTTTTTCGCTGTATACATTTCCTACATGTAGTCAGACATCTGGAAAAATGTCTAAAATGTTTGAGGCCAAGGTCAGGAAGTTGCCAGTTGGGAGTGCATACACAGGTATATAGTGTTATGTCAAATATATAGAGGAAAACTGTAGTATCTCTCTCAGTCTCTCACACACATATACAGGCGGTTTTCACTGGATGTGTGACTGACCGCAGGACAGTTTGTGGTCAGTCTCTTCCTTCCTGACAGCCTCTGGCCAGCAACCAGTCGACACACCATGCTCTGACAAAAGAGAAAACAAACAGGACATCAAGGGACTGGAAGGAACTTGTGGTGGCCGAGGGGCTCCAGCTAGAAACCACCACCATGTCTCCATGTCAACCCTTTAGTCACACAGGAACACTTTCAGGGTGTCCGGTGGCTCAGTGGTTAGTGGTGGCTCACACAGCAAGAAGCTCCTGTGTTTTGAACATATAACCAGCACTGCTGGACGTTGCATGCATTTCCTGTGTCTGTATCTGGTTTTCCACCACAGGAAACAAATATTAGATGAAAATGGAGATTTTAAAACTTTAGGTGTGACCAGTATCCTAGAAATTACGTCCATGTTGGTGGAGAGCGGACATCTTGATTTATATCCAATGCAAACATTCAGTGCTACACTGTAGTGGTGGGGGTGGCTGACCGGAGTTTGCGTCCTGTCACAGACCCACAATTAAAGTGTGCCTTTTCATTAACTGTAACCACAACCTGTCCCTAACCTTAGTGTTTTAATTCCTAACACTAACCTTATCCATGGTTTATTTGCCATAACCACAGTAGTTCTGTAAGCATAACCATTCTGTAGTTGCCATACACAGACATTGTGAAAATGGATGTGGACGAAATTCAAGGGATTTTGCAATCTGTCTTCCCCAGCGATAGGATGGTGGAACAGGTTTTAGACCTTTCTGGCCCTATACAGGATACATTTTGATCCAGTTGAACAAGAAACACTTTGGTTTTTGAACAGGTTAAATAAAAAAGATGTAACATGTCAGTTAGTGAGTTTTAGAGCTGGTAGATTAATTTTTCTATCTTTGGACAGAGTAGCCAGGCTAGCTGTTAGTCCCTGTTTACAGTCTTTGCTAAGCTAGACTAAATTGCTTGCATCTAATCGATAGCAGAAATTAGGGCAATTCCCAAAATTTTCATCTATTTCTATCAATAAGTACCTTTGGAAGCATTTTGGTTCATGGACTTTATGCAAATTTTAGTGGATTGAGGATTTCGTTCGTTCATGTTCCACCACCCTTTTGTATATTAAATCTTTGTAACAATCATATCATTTTTGTTCAAACATAATGCCCTTTACGTATATGTTAGTGACAAAAGTTGTGTTATATATGCATATACGTTTACTGAGTCACCTTTCTGCTGCAGTGTAGACATTACATTGTGAATATATTTGTTTGGACAGTGTGTGACTGAAACAGGATCGGCCCTACTTCTTGTAGTGATCTCTGAATAACTTGGAAAAATAAAATGTTCAGGGGAAATCAGTAGTTGTTTTTTTGTTCCCAGCTCCCATGACCATGTGGCTATATTTCACCCAATAGACGTCCTATAATTTGCATGCTTGCTCGAAAATCTTGTGGTTGAATTATAAGTTAAATAACTCGATGGATGACTGTCACACAGTGTGGTAGGTCGAAGTCAACATATTCTACGAGGCCGACTGTGGTAGGTTGGCTATAAACAAGTGAAAGAGGTTTTACCTCTGGAGTGTAACAGTGTGGTAGGTCGAGTAGGCTTCAGCAGAAAAGGACCACACATCCAGACCACTGATGATCACAATGTTGTGACAAGGTGTGGATCCATAAATCAATAGCTTAGCTTTATTTCATGCCTTTCTCTAACCTACAGAAACCTGCTACTGTACATCCATGCTTCTGTGACTCTCTTAGTTGTTAAATGGTCTTTACCCCAGTTGCTCTGAGGTTATTAAACAGGCATGTATTGTACAGAATGTTATTGGGCAAAATCCTGAAAAGAGGTGTCACTATTATTTTATTATTATTTTAAGCGTCATAAATTGTGATGCAAGAAAAAATTAATGTCACCTCTCTACTGTCAGTGGTCCAATAAAGGCATAACGTCCAGTGTGTAACATTTAGGAGGATCTATTGGCAGAAATTTAATATATAATATTCATGGGTATGTTTAGTTTATAATCCCCTGAAGATAGTAAGGTTTTTGAAATGGGCAAACCGAAACACTGTATCTAGAGATGAGCATTTGTGGTTTTTGTGTGATTTATGGCCACTGTAGACTCCTTTGAGCCTGGAAAGGGAGGATGAAATGAGAGAGTTGCAATCTGCAACTACACTGCTAGATGCCACTAAATCCTACCCACAGGACATTTTAATATATTTCTCACATTAAAATCAAGAAAAAGAATAGCTGACATTTATGCTTTTGAGTGCCATCTTTAGTGTGCCATGACGTTTATGTTCCCCCTTATGGTGAATGTTGGTGATCATCAGGGCAAACTTTTGGTTCCTCCTATACTTTGATTTATGAAATATAATATAAATACTGGCAAAACTCATGACATTCCCATCCTCAGCTAAAGACCTACTCTGTGATTAGTGCTTATTAGCAAATGTTAGCATGCTAACACGCTATTAGTTATTGATCAGTACTTCAGGACATAGACCCTTTGACTCTTCTTCTGTGCTACATGGTCACTGCTGATTGTTGTATTGCCACTGTATCTCCTTGTGCTCACTGTCTGTGTAGTTTTCGTTTTGTTTCATTATAGTACACACTTTATTCTGTTCTTTGGATTATTGTGGTTGGTTACGTACTGTATATAGGCTACCATGCAGGCAGTGCGTGAAACTGCATGTGAAAGCAATTGCCAAAGTGTAATGAAAACAGGCTAAATTCATGTGTTTATCAGATTGGCATGCATTTTTAAGGTTATAATGACAAAAAGGTTGTAGCAGTTAAAGGTCCAGTGTGCAAAATTCAGGAGGATCTATCGGCACAAATGGAATATAATGTTCATAGAGTCCACTATGTTTTTTTCTACAGTAGCCCAGAACGGACAAACAAATACTGACTCTAGATAGGGTTTTTTTCCTTTGGTTTTGCGGCCACTGTAGTTTCTTTAAGAACAGAGTGAGGTGAGGGCTTTGTATTATGCAACTGCACCTCAGATGCCACTAAACCCTACAAACTGGTCCTTTAAATGGTTTGTACGAGGTACCATGGTGGGCCTAAAAGCCTGCTGTGTACAGTGATGTCAATGCTGGAACGATCTACTGTATCATTCTGAATCGGCTGTATGTAGTGCTCTGTTGCTGGTTTGAGTCCCAGGTGAAGAATTAACTAAAATTTCAGTCCAAACCTAAATGACAGTGAAACTTTTGAGGTTTCCAAAAGTAGAACTTTGTACTGTGGAGCCAGCCTTGTGGTATCTAATTCTCATCCTGCTGCACAGTTCCAAACATGGACATAATTCAATAAATAACGCTACTGGGTGACCATTGTGGTAGCTGCTAAAAGCAGACCACACAGACGATGAACCCGCTGATGAATTGCAGGCACTTACTGTGACATGCTGCGGATTCTCAAGTCACAGGCGGTCTGAGGCTGTGCCACCCTCTTAGCGCATCTGTGTGCATGCCCTGTGTGATATTTTTGGTTGTGTGACTCACCCTCAACACTAGCAGCAGAACTGGATGCTCTGGCTTGGCTGTTAATTACATAAATAGTCCTGCCTCAACCACAACTTTGTGCAGCATAACGACGGATCAGGACCCTTCTATGGTAGAAAACAATATGCTGTGTATAAAGACGTACTAGAACAGTGTGTCTTCATTCCCTTAAAACACATGTGATGAGTCAACTCATTGATTCAGTCAGTATAATGTTTTTGAATGTAAAATATCTTTATTCGACCTTCTCAAAATGTGTTTCAATAACAGAAATTGTCATCATGGTGAGTTGTAATACTATTCACAAATAGGAATTATTAGACATAATTTTCAAATCAAAATCAGCATGTCAGCATAATTCATGAAAAGCAACAAGCCTCTTTCAGACTCGGCCCACTTGTCCACGATCAAGCAACTTTATAAATAGACTTTTATACATTTTTGGGTGTTGAGATTTCAACAAAGCAGTCATCCATTTGTGAGTCAAGGTTGAATCTGAGATGATGTGACGGAACAACAATCATCATACATCATACCAAAATACATAGAAAGTAAACCATAACAGAAAGGAAAGATTCTGTAGTTAACACATAAAACAAAGATCTCATCAGAAGTACTTGACAAATATCAGTATATCATTCTTTTGTTATATAAAACAAAAACTGATTATTTCTTTTTTTTTTTTCATGTCAACACATGATAGTCGATGGTATTTTGGCAACATCTGCATTGCAGGAGTTAACAGAAAGTCAACTATTAACATAACATAAGTCACTGGACATTATTCATTTGCCCCCGGCCCGTCCCACCCCCAACATTATGTCTTTATACATGATATTGCATGATAAAAACTATGATGAACTCATTGACATATCAATGACATTTACATAGTCAACAAACATTTTGTTTGCTGCTAGAGATTGGAAATGACTTCTCATCGTCTCTGTGTCCTTTTTTATTAGCTTTTCATTCTTTTTTTTTACGATTGAGGTGAATTCAGCTTTGGAGTCCAATCACGAACTGAAAATAAAGGGAAATCAACTGTTTTTTACGTCTACATATCAAAATGTTTCCCCGAATCAATTTAAATAATTGGGGAAAAAAAATATTGTTCATTATTTTAGTTTCAATTGCTCGACTTGAAACTGAATTGACCTCAAATCTGCAGTAAAACCCATCCATAGCTTCAGAGCTCAGTCAGAGTATGTAGTCTTTAGTAGAAAAAAACTACAGTGTCACTACTTGTTTTGCTGGTTCTGCACCACGTCTGAATTAAATCAAGAGTTCTTAGAGGCACCTGGAGTGGTACAAATATGTGCTCATCAGGGTTAAGGTATTGTCAGTTCCTTGTTAAGGTATTTTTCAGTTCATCGTCAAGTCCTCAGGAACAGAGTACCTGGAGAGGAGGCCAGACCAATGATCACACAGCTAATGATGCTCAGAAGCCTGATGTGACCACCACTTAGGTCTCTTTTTTTTCTTTGTCGTTTTTTCTTTTTGTAGATTTGTCGTAAAATATGTCCTGGGCCCGTGAAAGTATTCCCAAATGAGAGATGCACGCTATAGGAGATGTCTAAATCACAATATATACTATATGAGAGACATTACCGCCATTTATACCTTTAGATATTAAAAAAATCACCATGCTCATGTCTCAGCAAATGCACAGATGTTCTCAAATGGTCATGTACATATCAAAAGCAAAAACATATTTCTTGCAATACCAAATGGATGAGGTCTGTAGATACCGGCCCAATTGTTTCTATTTTTTAAATGCTTGCACAGTTACTTCAAGGTTAAAGTGAAAGAAACTTTTCTTGAATAAGGGCCCAGCGCTTCTACTGTAAAAGATGGTTGATGTAGGCCAAGGTCTGTGCAGAGCCTGCATGGATCAGCATCATTAGATTCAGCATTAGGGCTGTTTTCATATTGTCTTAAAGGCCCAGCTTGGAAAAAGAGAGTAGCACTATTCTACCCAAATGTGTCAAACTGAAACTTTACCGACAAGGGATACTGTGGAGTAATGTGTCATTTAGGCGGTGACCACATCACGAGAGCATCGACTAAAAATCCTGCGTGCATGTCCGGCTTGTTTTTTTTTTTTTTTATGTTTGCTGATCATTTCCATAATGAGCCTTTAATACAGTACTGTGTACACAGCTTCCTGAGAGTTAGCTAGCTACCATTCTGAAAAACACACTGCACATCTAGCTATCTGCTCATTATATGTGTATACTGTAGGGATGCACCAATAACCCACCAAAGGTATGTGAACCCTACTGCTGAGCTCATATTACATACAATTCTGATGTTATACCAGCTGTTTTTGCTTTGTAAAAGTAATGGTGTCATCTGATATTTTAAGATGAATACTTGAATGTGTTAATAGTGCATCCCTAACACAGTATAACATGGATTACAGTTAAATATAATGCAGTATAATCAGTCCCTCACTGTATTTTCATTGTGATGTTGCCTGTAAACTCACAGGACACACATCACCTTGTTGTGGTTGAATTGCTCCATGAAATGGATTCAATTACTTCTTAGGGTTTACAGTATGATCGTGCCTTCCCCCCAAATGGGCAAACACATGCCAATTGCTCATATGAAACCATTTACTGTGTGCTTTTTTTGTTTTCTCCACACAACAAATTTTATTTCCGTGATGACTCAACCCAAGTTTGGTGCCTTAGGAAGTTCTGTTACCGCCTGAAAGTGCTGCTCTGAGAGGGATAAGAGCCCCATGGTGGTGCAACCGCAGCTTGTCACATGTTAGAATCATACTTAGAGCAATGGCACTGATATCATGACAATCAAGTGTAATTAATGCAAACTATCATGTGGCTATAGCCTAAAGAGGCCATAGCTGTGCTCATGGGTACAATGGTGAGTCACCGACCTCATACTGACAGCGCCATCAACCCCAGTAATGAATGCCCTTACAAGTAATTTCATATTTATGCAGCAGGTACCAATTTTTTGTTCAAAGTTGCACATGTTCATATAATTACAAAAACAAATTGTCAAAGCAGTCTACCAGGTGTGTTAAGCCAATCACCTCTACGTTGTCCTATTTATAACATCCTGTTGCTGGTGTAGCAGTGATCACTGTTGTAAATGTGTCAGCAATAACTAGTATCATAGGTGTTTTGGTAACAACCAATGACTTAGTGGTATTGTCTCGAGTGCTACATCAAGGTACATTGTTGTTGGAGCAACAATAATCTGGGCGGTACTGGTGGCATGTCACAATAACAATGCTACATAAATAATAATTTTTTACATTTGAGCCTACAATCAGGATAGTAGCTACCACCGAGGACATTGAGGTCATACATCTGCATTCCTTTAGGGAAATAGTTTTTTAAGCAACCTTACACTCTGCAATTAAGCAAATTACTGTAAGACATAGTGACCATTGTATAGGTCCAGTATTATCAGACTCAATGGGCCTCATGCAAGAATCATTACTACAGAATCCATTCTATTTAGTACGAATGAGTCATGAACAGATACTAAAAATAACAAAAAACTTAACTTTGGAATTCTGATACATTCATTTGAATGAATGCGAGGTTCCAATATGTTGTCTAAATCAAATAAAATGGATAGATACAGAAGAATGGACAACTTTGTTTCCCCCAAGACTAATTGGATGCTTCAACTCGGATTCAAATTTGGTGCCAAAATGGCTGATGTTCAGACTTGTTTTTTCCTACCCGGCAGGCACAAAAATGTGAGATTCTTTTGTTTGAAATCTGTATTGATTTCTTCACAAAACTTCTTTAAACATTCATATGAACTGGCTTCAGCAGCACTGGTAGCTGTGCCTGTATTTCCAGTTGCACTAACCAAGCTGCCGTGCCAGTATGCCGCTGCGTGGGAGCATAGTAACTCTTACTGGAGTTAACATAGCGTATTCATTAATTGCAAACAGATACATTCAGTTCACCAAAAACATGAGCACTTCAACAAATGCAGTCTTTTAGCATCTAAGTTCATATCAAACCATTCCTCCTATCTCTTTCACAGTATAGCGCAGACAGCCTTATGTAGCATTTTGGGGGCTCGAACTATGCTATTGATCACAAACACACCTCCCTATGAACAGGTGACACCCATCAGGGTTTTTTCCAACAAGTAGCTGAATCCAACGGATCACTCACATGACAAACCTCACAGAAAAAAGTATTAATTTAAACGTGTTCTTGCATGAGGCCCAATATATTTCAGTTTGGCTACTTTTACGCTACTTTCCTACGGGGGGGTGCCTTTTGGGAAGACTGACCTCAGTAGACTCCTGTCTACGGCCCTGCCCACAATAACATTAGAATTGATGTCTAACATGGTATCAAGGATTAAATGGTAGAACACCAAGTCACATTATATTCTGCTGACTAATACTTATGTTACAGAGGCATCATTTTATTGTGATTTAGTATTTTTTGGGGCTTTTGTTGCTTTTTGGGATTATTTGCTGTGATTTTGTCCCACTTATAATTACTATTACTACTACAAACAGTGTTGCTTATTCAAAGAGGCATATAAGTGACATCACTTTAAGACAATGCAGCACTTGGGGCTTCCCTCTGAGAGAAGGCCGACTCATACAGCCATATTCACATCAGTCTTAAGACATCTGTAGAGTAAACTGATCACTGTATGCTGGAACCATAAGCTGGAGTAAACTGCACACTGGAGAAAGGGTATCACAAAGGAGGGAACTTGGATAAAAAAAACATGACTTCTAAGTCTGACTTGGACAGCTGCAATTCAGTTCAGCAATTAAAATTTTGACAGTATACTGAAGGGTGAAATACTACAATAAGGGGCTTGTTTTCAGGCCATGTTGATGCAGGGGAAGCGTCTTTTTTCTGTGTCAAAAAATGGTGATCATACACAATAAATTTGATTCATGGCCCTCTGCTTTCCCGTGGAATATCCAGCTAAGATATCCATGTTATTCCTGTCCATCTAATCCCACCAAATCAGCAGTGAGGAGGCATATGAACGCGATGGATTTGCACATACTCTGATGCTCTTCCGGCAACAGCAACACTGAAACCAAGGGTAGAAATACTATACTCGAATGCATTAGAGTCAGATGAGGTTTTGTTGTCGGCTGTTTTTGTCAGCAGTAATGTTATTTACATTGTTAAGTATGTACAGTAGAGAATCTCCCAGAGATGTTAGGTTCTGTAAAGCTGCAATGGGGTACTCCTTTAAATTCCTCACATGTGAAAGTCCTTAGATGAAGAGCCATATGAGTCCCTGTTGAAGAGTTTTGAAGGGTGTAATGATGTACTTGCTGCTGTATTACGAGTCTTAACTCTATCAGTGTACGAGGAGTATCAATAATCTGCCTTCTGAAGCTATGAATGTACACAACACGCAAACTCAAAGTCATTAAATAGCAAGATTTTAAATAAATCATCGTAAAATCATAAATGGACATTATGGTTCTTCATCTCAAGGGTTGAATTTCTCACACAAATCAAGACTCTAAATACAGTAAATCTTTTTTTTCATCATAAAGGTATTCATTGAGAAAGCTGAGTGTTAAATGCACTGTACAACCTTGTATTTTTTTTTTTTTTTCAAAATATAGTTTATCCCAGTGTGTTTTGTTGTTTTTTTTATCTTACAGAATCCTGTACACTTGGTGTCTGCATTGAGATTGGGTGATATCCTGATCGTTGGAGAGAGGAAAAGAAGAGATTATAGGGGGAGAATAGAGGAGAGGGAGAGAAATAGAGGGGTGAGAGAAAAGAAGAGAAGTTGTCCAGTGCCATTGTTGCCCTCAGTGAAGACGCTGCACTCCGTACCTCGGCTCTCTTCTGTCCCGCACCTCAATCTGAAGGAAAACAAAACAGTGCTGATTTAGACTAAAGTCACAGAAATGAAACATCATGAATGGACATTTAAGAGGTGAGCTTTAAAGGACAAATCCACCAATTTTATGCATAAACATCAGTTTACTTGTCATGTTTAAGGTTGTCTTTGGCTCTGGAGGAGCTCTGTCAAGTCTAAGAAAAGACCCCTAGTGATGTCATAGTGACGTCATCTGGGTCATCTCGGTATGGAGAGTAGATTCTTTAATGGACAAGAAAGGCCTAACAAAGCTGCTATTGAGTTGCATTATGTGAAGTATAGAATCTGACGTCTTTGGATCTTGACCCATTTTTTTCACCGTACAATACATTTACTGTACATTTTAATAACATTTCACCACATCATTTACATTAGGGTTGCAACTAATGATTATTTTCATTATAAATTGATCTGTTGATCATTTTCTTGATTCATGGATTAGTTGTTTTATCCATGAAATGTGAAAACATTTTGAAAAATATTGATGAGAGTTCCCCAAAGCCCAGCTCAGTTGGTAGAGCTGGCGACCCATGTACGGAGTTGCAGCAGCGGCCCAGGGTTCGAATCCGACCTGCAGCCCTTTGCTGCGTATCATCCCCTCTCTCTCTGCCCACCTTTCCTGTCTAGCCCCTGCCCTCTCCTGTCAGCATCGGTGGGACAGATGTGGATATGGTGTCGGCGTATAAGTACTTGGGTGTCACACTGGACAACAAACTGGACTGGTCCACTAACTCAGAGGCCATCTACAAGAAGTCACCCTGGAGGAGGTGGTGGAGGAGAGGATGCTGGCAAAACTGCTGGCAATCATGGACAATCCCTCTTATTATTATATAATGTTATTAACAATAGCACTACCATCATATCATCAGTACTATTACCACCATCTTGCAACTACAACTCTATTTATCTTTTTTTATCTTTTCTATCTAAGTATCTTATTCTATTGTTGTATTTTATTCTATTGTATTTATTTGTCTTTTAATGTACCTGGCTGCTATGACGACCCAGTTTCCCTCCAGGGAATAATAAAGTCTATCTATCTATCTATCTATCTATCTATCTATCTATCTATCTATCTATCTATCTATCTATCTATCTATCTATCTATCTATCTATCTATCTATCTATCTTCAGCTGTCTCTATCAAATAAAGGCAATAAAAGACCAAAAAAATAACTTTAGAAAAAAAAAAAAAGAAATTAAGAAATGGCAACATACGCCATTAAATATGCAGTTAAACCACCACTAGGACTCATAGAAACACAATGCGCTTTTTGTGTGTGTGGATAGGGGATGCTAGCCATCCCACACAATCTGCAGCGACGACTACAAAATGTCAGAGAAGTAAGTGAAAAACAGAATAAATGTAAAATGTCATCTTTGTGGGTGTTTTTTTAATCCCTGAAAACTTAAAAGTGTTAGCATTTTTTTCTTTTAAACGGAATGAAAGAAATTTATTCAGCCAATTAGTGTACTACTAACAACTTACTATGTTATTTCACTTAAAATATGGGTAGTGGGTGGGTTTTGGGGGCTTGCGTATGGAGGGATGCCATGAAAAGAATAAATCACAGTTATTACTGTAACTCAGCAATAAATGGCCATACAATCTGTTGTTGAATAGGGTGATGAATGCTTGCAGGAAAATAAGACTGTCAGCTAATATGTCTGGGCACTGTACTATGCTCAAAAACTAATGAGGCTTTACATAGGCACATGTTAATGTATTCCTCAAACACAATGCACATAAAAAGTATGAAGCAAAAGTCAACTTACCCTTGACACAGCAAAATCTGCAAGGACAAAAAAGAAAAGTGTTGGCATACACCGAAAAAAGTGCATATTTGTGCAAAACATGAATCTGCTTATGCATTTAAGCATTCCTGTAGGTCCATGGAGTCCACATTTTTCATTCATTTCACTTGTTTCTCATTGTCAATTACTATATATTTCTACTTTAAATGTTCTCATACTGTAAAAATGATAATCTTTTTACCGAATATGTTATATGTTGACCTCATGTTGATGCATCAACTTAAATGGGCAAAAGATACTTTCATGGACTGCCCATAGGCTGTCGCACAGTTTTGTTTCATCAGTTGATTTAAAGAAGATAAAGAATTTTATTTCTATGAAAAAAATGTGAACTTCACACAGCTGGTGAAGCATCAGATGCATTAAATGTGTAAAATCACTGAGACTGTCAGTGAGGTTAATCAGATAAGAACAGAAAGACACGCCCCCACTCTGGAATATCTCCAGTTACCATGGAAACCATCATGGAGCTAGACCGTCGGAGAACCTAGACATCTTATGTCACTTTTCTCTCTTTTTATCTCTCTTTTTTTATCTCTCAGTCTCTTCCTCTCACTCCTCCTCTCTCCTTTACTCTATCCGTCTGTATATCTCTCACGCTCTCAGTCTACTATGTCCTATGTCAGAGATCTGTTGTTCCTTCTGCCTCTCTTTAGCCCTTGCTGTATTTTGTTTTTGTTTTCTTGAACATTTGGTTTGTGGAGTCAAATCAAACACACGATCCTTATGTAAGGAAACGTTTTATTCTTTTGCATCGCATCTTTTGCTCTTGCCTTCACTGCCATCTTCTGCCATCTCTTTCCTCCTCTTCCTCTCTTTTCATACAACTGAAACAATGCAATTCAAGTGTCCTGATGCAATATCATGCAAACTGTCAGAAAGCCTCTGGAGGACTCTCTCCTGCTCTTAAAATACAGCACCGAAAGCAATTTGGCTGGAATTACTGAGGTCAGGTTGGAGTGTAGTCATTTTTCAACCAGGCAAATTGTGTTCATGTTAATGGCCTCACAGTTCAGGCCTAGAAAATAAGAGCTGGAGGAAGATTGACTTACTGGCTATCCAGCCTTAGAGACATTGAGCTACTGTATTACTGTGCATGGGGCAGTAGTAGGAGTGATAGTCTGAAGTATCTCAAGAGTTTGTAAGGTGGTGTCTTTAGCCTTTCAGATGAAAAACATCAGAGCTAAATTGTAAGAAATGGATTAAACTATGTTTTGTGTGCTCTTCATCAGTCAAAATTCATCCAAACTGCTCCTTTTTTTGGGATTCATTTTAAAGTTTATTAGTTGTTCTATACTGTTAATATCAATGAAATTTGTTGCTTAGTCAGTGGTTGTCAGTTTACTCAGTTATGGAAAGGTTGGGAACCACTGCATTATATTAGCATAGCCGGCTAGCTTACTGCCTATACAAGAAACCTAAACTCTTAAAGCCAAGTAGCATATCATTAGCTAACTATGTTATTACAGTATTTGAGGTAAGGTTACATTACATGAAGCCCCGTTCAGTACTGGCAGTTACGGGTAATGTTAGCAGCTCTTTGTTGGAGTTGGAAGTGCATCAAGTGCAAAATTTAAAAACCTTTTAGAGGGCTCTTGATTTAAACTGGTAATATTAAAATCAGATCTGCCACCGACAGCCGTCATTTCAGTCGACAAAATTAATGGTGTTGTCTAAAAATAAGAAACTTTATTTGTTTACTTTTTTTTTTTTACCATTCTTCTCAAAAAAGGACTAAACATTTAACATGATAAATCTGACAACGTTATTTCAAACTGCATTACTATGCAAGAATGGAAAGCTTGACAGCTGTCGCAACAGTGTTAGCGAAGTGAATGGCAAAAACTGGATCATTTTCAATGTCTTGTAAATGGCCAAAATTTTGGACGGATCAGCTTAACCGTTATATTGTTCATTTATTATTTGTTTATGTTTGAATCTATACTTTAATAAGTCTTCTTGCGGTCCAACTAACAAAGAAGAAGGCAGATCAAACCTCCAACAAACAGGAACCTCCAAAAACAAAGGATAATCAAAACCATCATATATGGGCCATCGCTACTTTTTAAGTATTGTGTTTCATTTTTCCTTTACTTACCCTTATTGTCTGTCTGCAAATCATCAAGATAGAAGTCTGTCTGCCGGTTACCCAGGACAAAGGCCAGGAAGGACAGGATGAGGGCGTCCAGGATGCCCATGATGGCCAGCATATAGGCCCAGCGTACAGAGCAATCGCCCAGGGAGTATTTCCCCGCCTGCTCCCCGCACATGTCCCGGATCACCTCCGCGTCCCATCCGTCGGGGAAGATCATGCAACCCAGCACCAGGCACACTCCTGCAGGAGGGAAGCAGGGTTAACATGAGAATTGTAATCAGGGAGTGTGATATGAAGAGAAGAGACAAGTGAGAGGTTCTAAACAACAGAAGGAAGAGATGAGAAGTTACGGTGTGCAAAAGATGGAGGTAAGGGAACGTTTCCGTTCCTGGATTTTCATGAACTAACAGCAATAAAGTTTAACTTGCATGTAGAACAGTATACTGATGGCCTTATATACTGTATATATTTTCATATAAGTGAGATCTTGCACTAGAACACACCATGTTTTAGGCTGCATAGCACTGGTCAACTGAAACCACTGTTTTTAGTGTTTGTAGCCCTTCTACAGTACAGTGGATCATGAAACTCTTCTTATCACGTCCTTCACACCGGTACAATAGACCCTATTTCACAACAGCCATTCTGACTTGAAATAGCAAGGTAAAGGTGTTACCTATGACACTAATTAAGGTTCTATTCCATATAGGTCACACAGGGTGGAAAGGCTCTGCTACAGTAAATGGAACGGAAAGTTAAATTTTCATGGTCCTAGGAGTGAGTCCACATAGCTATTTTGGCATCTCAAAGGGCAACACATTGCAACCATACTTGCCATATCTTGGATTCTGAGGATAGAACCCTTGAGATCTGGCACAACATCAACCAAGCACTGTATATTTAGCAGGACATATGAAAATGTCTATATGTATATACTCTGGGAGACTGTCGGGGCCCCAAAACCACCCATTTTGCACTTTTTTCGATTTAAGGGCCAGTAATGAAAAATATATCTTGTGCCTTTCAGTCATTTGGATTGGTTGTACAAAGTTTTGTCTATGCCCCTACCAAGTTTCATGGCTCTAGGAGTTATATTTCTAAAGATATTAACTTTGTGGTGTTGTTTTTTTAGTGCCCAAATTGACAAAACAAAACAAAAAAGCAATTCTTAAGATTCAACAAAAATATTTTACAGATTTCTTTTTTAGGGTGTGTTAATAGCATATACATACAATATGAAAAACAATTTTAAATCTCTATCTCATTTGACACCCAACAACCCACTGTTTTCCGATTGATGCTAGTAAGATCATCAAAATTTTGCCTTCCTGCAGCTTTAAGCACTGCTCAAGTGAGTTAAGCCAAGTGTGTGTGAATGCCAACAGCTCTCCGGGTGTAGAGGGGTTAACAGTGCGACAGCAGAAGGGTGGAATACATGCACCGTATACATTATTCACCTGGAAACAAATTGAGTGTGTGAATTTAAAACAAACACATCACAAAGCTGCATGCTCTCACACCCATAAACAACAGTGAGTGCATGCAGTGCACATAACAGATACACACAGTACAAAGCCCTCAAGGGAAATGCATACATTCAATTTCAACACTACAACAAAAATGGTAATCTATACTTTACACCTCTGCTCATTCATCAAAGTGAGCATCGCTGGGGAGCTGATTGTGCCATATTCCTTGTTCACCAGCACTGTTTAAATAGCAGTCAGTCTGTGCCTTAGGGGCTGTAAGTAAAGCAGTGGGCTCTACAGGGAGATGGGGAACATACATGGCAGACATCACACTGGATCTTCATTCCAGACCAGACATGTCTTTTCCACGGGCAACATGACTTTTGATACACATGAAAAGTCTGACAGATATGCTTGAGTTGGTGATTATTATGCTTCAGTCCAATAAATGTTCAAAAGATTTAATGTCTGGATCTCGATTGCTGTGCAATTGTGAATATTTAAAGTACTGTGTGTGCCATGTGTGTCTGTTGAAGGGTGTTGGGTAGCATTCAAACACAGTAGTTGCTGTGTGAAATGAGGTGTACAGTAACACAGAGCGATGATGGGGGGAAATGTAAAACAGAGGATAATAGCATTGGCTTTCAGCAAATTCTGCTGATTCTGAATGTATGAAGCCTAATCTTTCCTACTGGCATGAAGGCCTCAAAGGTCAAAAACTAGTTTAGACACACTACTGATAGATACATCCCTCCTGAGTCTTCTATTGATGGCCGTCTGTTAGAAAAATATTTCCATTAGCTGATGCAGTCATTAAAGTCCAAGTGAAATAATACAGTTCTTCAGAGATGGAGAGTTAGTTTTACCAAAATAAACTATATGGAATAATCAAGCGATATTATTTGATTGGCTATGTGCAAAGAATTTCTCCATGGAGACAAAACAATTCTATGTTTGGGGCTTTTGTTGTTGTTTTTGGGGGATTTTGTGACTTTATTGGACAGCTTAAAAATAGACAGAAAAGAATATAACAGGGGATGTTTATGGTATGTGTCATAACCATTGGGCCACTGAACAACCCAATCTTTTAACTTTTTCTCACAGAGCAGGTCTATATGCTGCGGCAGAAAATAAACATGCAATTTATTTTAGCTGGAATGTTGTGCTTGTAGGGTGACGGTGATGGATCTGAGTGTATTAAAGTAAAGTCCATTAGTCACACGGTTGAACCCTGTCACATTAGTGATTCCCTCTGAGGACCCTGTGTTTCACCTACTAGCCATCCATCATGAGAAAATGGTGGGTGGTGAACTCATGGCAACAGATGAGGGAGGATATCAGATTAGTCACCATCTCTCTGTGTAAAGCAGAACACTATGCAAATATGAGGAGTCTTATTTCAAGCTGAGGCGCACACCGCTCGAAAATGTGACCGCTCCTCTGACAAAATGATCGCTGGCGTAATGAGAGAATGTAATGAGAAAGAATATAATGAGGATAATACAGTAAGTAATGAGAGAATAGAAGAGCAATGGAAGCAATCATCGTGGGAAATCATCATGTTATTAGCTTCTTTTATGACCTTTATAAAAGATATTAACATAGATGAGAGATGATAAAATCATTAACTGGGTAATGAGCGTCAGGTAACATGTTTTATGGATTTTTGATGAATGTTTCCCCATCTGACATGAAACTAAGTCCAAAGTTATTGAGTGTGGGCTTTTGGAAATGTGGATGCAGGGCCATTGGCTTGGTTGTAAATCAATTGCACTCACCAAAGTCATTTCTGAGATCTCAGAACAGGAAGACATTTCTAAAAATAGATCCAATGGGACAACAACCACGAGCAGTCACACACTTAGTTTGGAAGGGAAAACGAGGGCGCACAATAAAATCAGTCCATTGTAAACATTAATCACAGTGTATGGACCCAGCTTGTTTACAACCTGTCTGTATGTTCGGTTTTCCTTTTAAAGGAACAGTTCACCACAACATCAAGCATATTTTTTTTCCTTTTACCTCTAGTGCTCTTCATCCAGCTAGATAGTTCTGGCATGAGATGCAGAGAAATCCGCCATAGAGATGTCTGCCTTCTCTCCAATATAATGGAACCAGATGGCACTCGGCTTGTGGTGCACAAAGCGCCAGAAAACAAAATTTGAAAAACGCAATAGCGCTGTCTCTTTCCAGATATCATGACCCACTCACTCAAGACAATCGACAGACCTTTTTGTGAGCAGTTTCATGTAGGAACTATTAATTTCTTTAAACTGAACGTCAGCTATCTCAGTGGCGCTACGCGAGCCAGCTAGCTTTACAGCTCAGCCGAGGCAGACGCTATTATGTTAGTTTAGTTTAAAGATTGTTAGTAACTGACTTTGTTGTTACTATGTAGCTGTGTTGCTTTTCTCAAATGTAAACAAATGCATCTCCGTTCAAACACACTTCTTCACACGTCACCATTCAGATGCACTGCAGTACAGATGCCAGTCAGCGAATGCATCAGCATTAATGTCTCTAAAATCTACTGATTCAGTATAGTTGGTTCAGTTTCAAAATTCGGTATTAAAGATACATTCATACATGTACTGAATACCTCCAGCCAGCTCCTATGCAAGCCATATGATTACCCATAACACCCTTCTCTGTTTATATGACTTTAACCATCATTTTCAGCCTTATAACATATTTCTGAGATTAAAAAAAGAGGGATTCAACAATATATAAATTCCTGAAGGAATATGTAGCCCTGGGAAAAACCCTCTCTTTGTCTGCTAGAGTATGACAGTAATGACCGTGTGACATGATCTCTCTGTGCCCTCTTCCTCTATCTGCCCTTCTCTTCCATCTTCAACTCGAGCATTTTAAGTGGGCAACAGCGGGCTAAAAATAACCCCCACCTTCCCACAACCCAAGAAAAGCCCTTTGAAGTGGTTGGGGTGTTTCCTCTTCCTTCCTCCCCTCCGCTCTCTCAAGACACTGCATTCTGAACTTGGAGGGGAGGAACTTCAAAGGTGGCAAGCAGAGGGATCGAACAGAGAAGGAAAGGGGATGGGAGGGAGCAGAGAGGGACGAAGAATGAAAGGGCAAAAGCAAGTCGTATGAAGAAGGAGAAAGGGAGCAGAATGGCTGCCCCACTAAATTGCCATTTTTTTCTCATCTCAGCTCATCACTTCCTGTCATTTCTTTTCATTGCAGCGTTCGCAGCGCGTCAGCTGTTAGAAATAAGCAGATCAGACTTAATGAAAACATCACGTTTGTGATCCAACTAGTTAAAATGACTGTGAACCAATTTATTTATAGCGCCCTAAAGATATTTCTAGTTTTCTTACATAACAATTGTCAGACTTTCTTATCTACATGTCTACACAGACCCTATTCCAGACAAACAGTCAAAATGTATTATATAAGAGCTCTAAAAATACCATCAGTGTGCTATATATATATGTGTGTGTGAAGTATTTTTGATGGGAGCAGCTTCAGGCTCCTCCTCAGCAGCTTGACTCTGTGTCTGCTGTGTACACGACCGTGACGCCATCCGACACTGTGTCATGTGCTCTGACTGAGTCTTATGACAGCAAACTGTGCTGGAGATTTTCTAATAATTGCACATACAAAGTAATACATATGAACACACGTTAACACATAAACACTCCAATTTCTCTCAAATGCAGATTGATGCATCCACACACAGTAGATCTGAATGACCTTGTCTCTCCAATCAAGATAAACAAACGTCCATATTAGTGTCCACTGCTGCTGCTGCTG